CTTATTCCTTATGCATGGATAGGAAAAAGTAACAGTTAAAATGACCCTCCTGTCACGAGTATGATGTAGATCCAATGAAGGCCCCCACCCCCAAGCACCATGATAGCTTTTAGGGACATGGAACAAATTCTGCTGAAGTTATCTGGAGTGATAAAACCCCCAAAGAGCCCCAGCAGGGAAGAGAAAGGAGGGAGGCCTTTCTCTGGCTTTGGACTGTGAGGCTCAGTCAGTCGGGGCTGGGCCCCGTCAGGTACAACCCCAGCTCCACTTCGTGTGTGTCCCTACTCTCGTCAGAGTAACAGGAAAGCTGTAGTAGTGAGAACTGTAGCACTAGAATGACGTACTTTCTGACCCCTGGAATGGAATCGAGAGCCCAGAGCCAAACTGTCAGGTTTACGGATGGTTTGTCTGTGACAGGTGCTGGGTACACGAACTCGAGCAAGCGAAGTCTCTGCAAATGGTGCTAGGACAGTGGCATGTCCGTGTGTGAGAGATGAACCCGGTGATCTCACACCACTCACAAAAAAAAAAAAAATTCACAATGGATGAAAGGCTTGGTGTTAAACCCAGTCCATAAAACGTGCCGAGGCAAACGGGCAGCTTCCCAGGGCACTGACTTCAGAGGCTTCTGCAGTGACCGGACACCCTTGGTTAAGAAAACAAAAGCCAAAAATAAACGAGACTGCACGAAACTAAAAACATTCAGGGGCTGGAGAGACAGCACAGCGGGTAGGGCATTTGCCTTGCACGCGGCCGACCCGGGTTCGATTCCCAGCATCCCATATCGTCCCCTGAGCACCGCCAAGAGTAACTCCAGAGTGCAGAGCCAGGAGGAACCCCTGTGCATCGCCAGGTGTGACCCAAAAAAAGCAAAGAAAAAAAAATTCAGAACTGTGAGATAGCTAGAACGACCCCCTGCTGAGGGCAGGGGACATCCACACGTCAGACAGAGGGCTAATGACTAGGACACACAAAACGTTCACAAAAGAATATCCAAAGCCAGGTCGCCCCATCAGAAAGGGAGAAATGAGCATAGACGTCACAGAGAACATGCGGATGGCCAGTAGGCACATGGAGCAGTGCTCTCATTGCTCCAAGGCAATCAGATGACCCGAGCTGCCACCTACCAGAGCATAGTGCCAGCACCCAGCGCTGGGGACATTGATAGGATCCCCAGCCGTTGGAGGGGCCGTTGTGGGGTCAGTCTCTGTCTCTGCAGAAGTCTCCAAAGATTAAAACTAGGGCCTATGTCACACGCGTGTTCACCACAGCGCTGATGGGCTGGGCCGTGGCTGTGCACAGACATGGCGCTCAGGCCACGTGAGCTCGTGGCACCGGCGTGCGTCGTGCGGAGCAGAGGCAGGCAGTGGGGAGTGGTCAGATGGTTTCTTAGACGTGGATGTAAAGACGGTAAACTCAAAATGGCTCAATACCTGGATATCAAACCCGTCTCTAAAGTGCTCTCAGGCAGGATTCGCCAAGATCTCTGCCTCCGAGAGCCTCCAGGAGAACCAAGGATAACGTTTCCTTGGCAAAGAAAAGTTGGGGCTGATGTCAAACTGGAAACTTCCACACTCCAGAAGCAAGGAAGCCCAAGTAAGACCATACTGATGGGGAGAAGGTATTTGCCCCTCGTACATTGGACAAGGGGCTGGTACCCACGATGGCTGAAGCCCCCTGAAAGCTATGAACAGTCACGGATGGGGCAGGAGTTGGACAGACCCGTCCTCAAAGAAGACGTAGATGGGCGGATGGAGAAAGGTTCATTCCTCTGGTTATCAAGGAAATGCAAATCAAAAGGACGGGGTGGAAAGGACTGGAAATTGAGCACTGGTGGGATGTGGTGGGCAGTGGGCCCCTTCCTCTGCGGGGAGACTGGGCTTGGCCGGGCACTGCCCCACGAGCACGGACATTCGTGTGCACACGTGCAGCGTGTGTTGCCCGGCACTGCTCTCAGCGTGACAGCTGTGCTTGATGGGGCTGTGGCCCCCACACGCGTGGGCCCTCCCTGCAGGCTATGTCACCATTGGCCATCCGTCGGACAGAGCTGACGGGTGCTGTGTGCCATGAGGGGAGCGGAGGTGAAGGGGGAGGAGCAGATGGCCCTTCGCCAGCAGGGTCCCAGAGATGGAACAGCCCCTGGGGGAGGGGGCCGTCAGAATCTGGAACCGAGGGGGCTGGGGAGCCCGGACAGTGATGGGGATGTCTGGGCAGCCACGCTGCAGGAAAGGTCAACCTAACGGACCCTGAGAATCTCCCGGGGTGGGTGGGGTAAGGGGCAGAGGGGGTGTGCCCAGGTTAAGGTATGGTGAACAGCACTGCATCCGAAACAGGAAGGGTGAGTTGTGGAGCCTTCATTCTGTTCAAGAAAGTTCAAAGCACTTTGCAAAGTCACACTCACCACCTGGAGACTGCTTTACACACAGTCGGTATGGTCAAGTTGCAGGCTGCAAAACACGGAGGCCTGTTGCATTTCTGGAATGCAAGAAAGAAATGAGAGAACCCACCCTATTTACGAGTGCAAAAAGAAGCAGTACCAGCTTAACGACGGGGTGAATCAGGCGTGCACTGAAATCTAAAAGCAGCTGTGGAAAGAAATAGAAGACACAAGACGATGATTCCATGGCCGAGGCCTGGAAGGGTTCACACTGCTAGAATGAGCTTCCTCCCAAATACGGAGCACAGTGCTGTCAGCCAGGACTGCCCCTCTCTGCGTCCTCGGAGGCCAGGCCGTGGTCGAGGGAGGAAGACTGCTCTGCCCACTGGGATTGCTGTCGGGGCAGCGAGCAGAGACGGGTAGTAAGGGTTCCCGGGCCAGAGAGATGCGGAGACGCCTACTCCCCAGCCAGCAGGGTGGGGACGGCCCTGTGATCTCCGCGGTCTTCCCATCAGAGAGGTAGGGCTTGCTGTGGTATTCTCACACGCTCCTGTGCTGGTAACATTTCTTTTGCTGCTTGTTCTTGTAACGGTTGGCTCATTAATTTTTTGAAACACTTTAATGTTCCTCCAAAGCACTGAAAAAATACTCCCTTTGCTGTGTTTGGCTGCTGGGGTTGGCTGCCTCCTGGGACGTCTGTGGCACGGGACTGGGGGCCTACGCCCCTCTCCCGCCGCTGTCTGCCCTTGGGGTGGGTGGCCAAGGTCTCAGAGCCCGGGGCAGGTCTGCAGCTCTGCGCGAGACTGCCCTTCACTGTGCCCCGCAGGACGCTGCCGCCCTCCCGCTCTCCCCATGGGGCCCACGGCTGGCCCTGGCCGTTGTGGGTTTGCGTCTCCCGTTCCGGTGAACCCTGCATCCCGTGTGCCTGGCTTGGGCCCCGCGGCTCCGTGTCAGCTCTCCGGCCCCTGCCTGCTGGTTTCCCCTTCTCTCCCAGCCTGGGCGGCCGCGGTGCCCGTGTGCCCAGGGGAAGTCACTTCGCCCTGGAGCTGCTGCTCTGGGCGCTTTGGAGCGGAGCCTGGAGACGCGGGCCTGGCCACGACGGACCCCGTGTCCCATCTAGACCCCGTTCACTGCAGAGTGTCTGTAGCACGGCTGGTAGGTATGACGGCTGGGAGATCCCTGCCACCACCCGGCAGTACGGAGGGACCTTTAATGCTGAGAACAAGCCTGTGTATTTAGTCCAAATGGGATTTCCAGTTTGCCATATGCTCTCTCATTAGTAAGCTTTGTGATTTAATTAAAAAAAAAAAAAGATTTTAGGGACTGGAGCAATAGCACAGCGGGTAGGGCGTTTGCCTTGCACGTGGCCGACCCGGGTTCAATTCCCAGCATCCCATATGGTCCCCTGAGCACCGCCAGGGGTAATTCCTGAGCGCAGAGCCAGGAGTAACCCCTGCGCATCGCTCGATATGACCCAAAAAGAAAAAAAAAAGATTTTAGCGTCTTACTTTGCATTTTTTTTGTCTTTTGGGGGTCCCACCCCGCTGTTCAGGGGTTCCTCCTGGATCTGCACTCAGGAATTACTCCTGAGGCGGTGCTTTGGGATGCCGGGGATCGAACCCGGTTCTGCCTTGTGCAAGGCAAACGCCCTCCCCGCTGTACTCTCTCTCCAGCCCCAAAGCTGCATATTTATTGTTTCAGAAGAACTTGCATGGGACCCCAGATAACGATGCAGATTGTGTTTGCAGAGCCTCTGTTCCACATTCTGGGCGTCCGGGTGTTCCCACATGGGTCACGAGTGGCGGCTGTGCTTGAGACCCTCCGTCCGACCCCCCTGACTGACGCTCCTCACGGAAGGACTCGGCAAACTCTCGCGAAACTGCATTATCGTTTGCACACTCTCCCCCAGATCGTGACTGAGTTGGGGGTTCCCCTGGCTCTGCTCAGGGGACCCTCCGGGGGTGCTGGGATGGGACAGACGCCTTATCTTGCGGGAGTTGCAGGTGCACATTCTGCAGTGAGCGAGAGGGGCGTCTCAGGTGCGATGTCAAACTGCTTTGAATGGCTGAAATTCCACAGTGCCGCCAGCGGGACTGTCGCCTGCCTTGGTGCTCGGGGCCGCGGGTGAAGGGTCCTTCCTGGCCCAGTGCGGCTTGGCGGGGCTGCCCCCAGCCCAGCTACTCGGCTGTCCAGGCCTGTCCCCACACTCATGGCTGGGGCGAATCTGGGGGCAGTGAAGATGCTGGGGTCCCCTCTCACATGAGCCCAAGCACCACTGCCCTCGCCCCCCACCCCCCGTCTGGCGTCAGCACAGGGACACGGGGGCACCGTTTCCCCCCGGGGTGGGCGCTTCTGCCCAGCACCGACCCATCCAGTGAGGCCTCTCCCAGCCTCCCCCAGCCTCCAGTGTCCTCACCCCCGCCCCCTGTCCAGTCCCCCACGTGCAGGGCCCACCCCTTCCTGCCCTCCCCCGTGTCCCTTGCCCCTTACCTGCCCAGCCCCTGGTGGCGCCGCCCCCTGGACTTTGCCCCAGGCTCCAGCCCCACCCGCCCAGACGGGCCTCTGCACGCTCCCGCGGCCTCTGCAGCTCTCGGCAGCACCAGGCGGGAGTGGACGAGGTGCCATGGCCGAGGACAAGGGCGAGCGGCTGGGGATGAGCGTGCAGGGCTGCGCCAACCACGCCTTCGAGGGGGACGAGGAGGCGGCGGGCGCGGGGCAGGGCTCCGGGCAGGGCCCCCTGGCGGTGCCCGCGCGGCCCTACGCAGGGATGCCCAGGGACGTCCTGCTGCACTTCTCCGGCCGCGCCCGCTACCGCGTGCCGCGCGAGGTGCTCTTCTGGCTGACAGTGCTGGCCGTGCTGGCGCTGACCGCCGCCTCCGCCGCCCTCATCGCCGTGTCCCCCAAGTGCCTGGACTGGTGGCAGCAGGGGCCCATGTACCAGATCTACCCCCGCTCCTTCCGGGACAGCGACCGGGACGGGGACGGAGACCTGCCAGGTATGTGGGCCGGGTGGGGCGTGACCCTTGACCGCGATGCCAGGTGAGCACATTTCTGCTGGCCGGCCTGGGGGCGCTGCCTGCCACCCCCGCTCGTCTCACAGTGATCCTGAGCACAGAGCCAGCCCCCTGCCCCCGCCCGGCCGGGTGTCTCCGAGGCTCTCTGCCTCCGTCCCGGCGTCTCGTGGTGCGGACACCTGGGCGCTCATCCGCCCGCTTCACCTGTCCTCCAGGCGTTCAAGAGAAACTCGATTACATCACGTCACTCCATGTCAAGACCATCTGGCTCACATCCTTCTACAAGTCGGCCCTGAAAGACTTCAGGCACGGGGTCGAGGATTTCCGGGAGGTCGACCCCATGTTCGGGACCATGAGAGACTTTGAGGAGCTGGTGGCTGCCATCCATGACCGAGGTGCCTGAGCCGCGTGGGGGCGGGTGGGGGCGGGGTGCGTCGGGGCAGGCCCCTGCGGCTCCTCCCGGGCCCTCCATGCCGTTCTCACCGTCCTCCTCACCCCGCAACGGCCTTGCTTGCTAGGTCTGAAGTTAATCATCGACTTCATCCCCAACCACACCAGCGACAAGCATGCTTGGTTTCAGCTGAGTCGGAACCGGACGGAGAAATATGCGGATTATTACATCTGGCACGACTGTGCCCGGAATGGGGATGCAATCGTGCCCCCGAATAACTGGGTAAGTGCTGCTGTGCCCGCGCCCACGCGGTCACTCTGCAGATCTGGGGGCCCACAAGGAAGGACACAGTGAATGACGGTCGTTTTCCAGAGCAGAGGCATTCTCCCGAGAAACAGGAGAGGAGGGGGCGGTGCTGCCTGCTCTCACCGCAGGACCAGAATGTTCTACCACATTCCAGCCCGTTCCCTGTCTGCCAGCGGGGAGGCCGTGTCCCCTGAGCCCAGGAGCCCCGCCTGGTGCCTGCCCGCTCCGACCCCCTTGCGGGTAGCTCTCCCATTGACAGGTACCATCTCGGACCCACCCTGGGCTCAGGCCCGCCCGGTGGCTTCCTGAGCGGGACTCACCCACACACGGGGCTTCCGTCTTTCTTTCCCGTCTCTGCTGCTTGTTCGTACCATGCCCAGGGCTCCACGTCCATGGGGTTACGGCAGCTGCGCAGGTGCCGGGCACGGCAGAGGGGAGCGAGGGCACAGCCTGGCCCACTGCGAGCTGCTGCCTGCTGCCCCGGACGGCCCTGAGGACACGCACTGCAGCGGCCACAGGAGTTCCGGCAGCTCACAGTGCTCGACACCCCGCCGTTCGGGTAGACACCCGGAGGCCGGACACGGAGTCCCTCTGCAGGGTGTCCCTGGGGTTCACCTCCCAGTGACATGCTCAAAAGCTGTGTCTGAGCAGGACTCGGCAGGCAGGGGCCTGAGGGCCAACGCTGTGGCGGCTCCTTGGGTGTAACGTTGGTCAGACCGTCTCTGGGTGCATCTGGTAGGCTTAATTTCCCCAGGTTTCTTCTCATGGTTTTCTTTTCATCTTCATGTTTTTCAGCTGAATTTGTGGTGTGTGTGTGTGTGTGTGTGTGTGTGTGTGTGTGTGTGTGTGTGTAACCTCGTCTTTCCTTAGTTCTAGGTGCTGTAGTAGGAACTGTTTTAGTTGCTGTGGTAGGTGCTGAAGTAAGTACTGAGGTGGGTACTGTGGTGGCAGGTGCTGAGGAGTAGGTGCTGTGGTAGGTGTTTGTGCAGGGTTAGTCTCTGTTGTAGGTGCTGAGCTAAGTGCTGTGGTAGGCGCTGTGGTAGGTACTGAGGGAGGTGCTGAGGTAAATGCCTTGGGAGATGCTGAGGTTGGCATTGCGGTAGGTGCTAGTGTAAATGTTATTGCAGGTGGTAACGTAGGGACTGTGTCCTTATGGGTGCCCAAGGGCTTATGAGGTGAGTCAGCAAGGCCTTTTCCTAGAAAGGCTGTACCCTGGCCACAGCTCTTCTGTCCTGGGGAGTGGATAGAGCGCCAGTCTTTGAACTAAAGACGTGACTGAGGCAGAATCTCCCATCTGACGTGTCTGGATGTCTCTGTCGCACGGAAATGACAGATCGAGCAAGCTTGAGCCTTGTTCATCTCCCCCGTAGGAAGCTCAGATGCAGGGGGAGGGAGTGAGTCCTGCGTCCTGGAGTCAGAGCTGCCTAGAAAGAAACATGCTGGAAACCCCCCTGGCCGTTCCCCCCCTGTGTTGCAAGAGCTGGTGGCGTTGCAGTGGTGGGCTCGGTGCTTCTCTGGGGCTGGTTTAAATATTCACTGTTGGGATTCGAGGCCAAGGCCAGTGGGCTGTGTCGCTCCCTCAGGGCCACTTTCCTTCTCGTCACAGACGGGCGCCTCAGCCTGGAGGGAGGTTTCGGGCCGCAGCTGCCGCGCCGAGCACCCACTTTTGCGCTCGGACCACGTTGGCGTCCCGTTGCTTTGGGGGGCGGCTAGCGGGGAGCAGTTTGGGGAATAGATTCCGGTGCTCCTCACAAGGACATTGGTGAGGCCTTGTGCTTTGGCCGGCATTGGGGGAGGGGCGGGGTGATGACCACTGCCTGGGCGGCACCGTCAATGGGCCTAAAATGAAGTGACCCGTTTGCTGTTTTCTGTTTGCTAGTTAAGCGTGTATGGAAACTCCAGTTGGCACTTCGATGAGGTTCGAAACCAGTGTTACTTCCATCAGTTTCTGAAGGAGCAACCAGACTTAAATTTCCGCAATCCCGACGTTCAAGAGGAAATCCGAGTGAGTACGACCCCTGCTCTTCCTCTCTGCTGCGTGGTGCTCCTGTACCTGCGCTTCCCGGGGGCCCGACACCCCCCCACCCGTCTGCCTGGAGCAGTCGCTCTGACTCCCCGGGCTGCGAGGGGCTTCCTGGGTGTGTGTTCTCTGGGTGTGAGGTCTCTCCGGTGTGCAGTCTCTGGGTGAGAGGTCTCTCTGGGCGTGAGCTGCAGATGGGCTGTTTCCCTCCTGTCCCCGAGCTGCAGGCGGGTGGACAGTGTGATGGCCCTGGTCACCCTCCGTCAGCAGCAGGAGGGGCCGGAGTTGCCATCCCCAGCAGACCACCCAGCCCTGTCCTCCCGGCCGTGCCTGCAGGCGTGGGGCCCAGGGGGAGCCTCTGGGGGCCCCTGTGGTGTTCAGCGGCTCTTCCCCAGACCCTTGGGGCCGGCCGGGCTTGCCTGGGCAATATCCGTCAACCCACGGTCTGGCCCTCAGGCACCCAGACTCCGGCTCCCCACTCAGGTTTCCGGCTCCTGTCGCTGCCCTGAGGTGAAGGTCTCTCCGACCTTACCTTGCAGATGTTCAGAGCTTCACTGGGGAAGGGGCCGTCTGGGTCCTATAGCCGGAGGGGTCCAGCTGTGAGAGTGTGTGTGTGTGTGTGTGTGTGTGTGTGTGTGTGAGAGAGAGAGAGAGAGAGAGAGAGAGAGAGAGAGAGTATCTATGAGTATGTGTGGTGTGCAAATGTGTGTCTGGAGTGTGTGTTGTGTGTGTGTTTGTGTGAGTGTAAGTGTGCTTGTGTTGTGTGTATATGTCTAAGAGTGTGTTGTGTGTGTTGTGTGTCTCTGAGTGTTGTGTGAGTGTGTGTTTGGTGTGAGTGTATGTTTATATGTGAGTGTGTTGTGCATGAGTGTGTTGTGTGTTTGTGTGTGTCTGTGTGTGAGTGTGTATGTCTTTGTGAGTGCATTGTGTGTCTCTGCGTGTTGTGTGTGTGTTTGTGTTAGTGTGTCTGTGTTGTTTATGTGTGTGATCGTGTATGTCTACGTGTGAGTGTATTGTGTGCGTCTGTGTTGTGTTGTGTGTCTGTGTTGTGTGTGTGAACATGTATGTCTGTGTGTGTGTTGTGCGTGTGTGTGTTAGTGTGTCTGTGTTTGAGCATGAATGTCTACATGAGTGTATTGTGTGTATTGTGTGTGTGTTGTGTGTGTGAGCGTGTATGTCTGTGTGAGTGCATTGTGTCTGTGTGTTGTGTGTCTGTGTGAGCATGTATGTCTATGTGAGTGTATTGTGTGTGTTGTGTCTGTTGTGTGTGTGAGCGTGTATGTCTGTGTGAGTGCATTGTGTGTGTTTGTGTTGTGTGAGTGTGTGTTAGTGTATTTGTGTGTGAGTGTGTATGTCTACGTGTGAGTGTATTGTGTGTGTCTGTGTGCTGTGTGTGTGTGTTGTGTGTGTGAGCATGTATGTCTGTGAGTGCATTGTGTGTGTGTGTTGTGTGTGTGTGTGTGTGTGTGTGTGTGTGTGTGTGCGTGCGTGTGCAGTATTCTCAGGACGCCCAGAGGCGGGACTGCTCGTGGCTGGGACAGTGGCCCTTCTGCAGACAGAGCTTTTTGGAGCTTTGGTGCTGGGCCGTGGGTGACTGGCATTTTGGTTTTCTGTTCTAGGAAATCCTTCAGTTTTGGCTCACGAAGGGGGTGGACGGCTTCAGTTTTGACGCTGTCAAGTTTCTCCTGGAAGCGAAGCACCTGCGAGACGAGGCCCAGGTGGATAAGACACAGCCCCCGGTAAGCACTCTCAGGGTCCCACAGCTCAGAAGCGGGTCTGAGCCGTGAGCCCCTTTCTGGGCCAGGCCCGGGTCGTGTGAGAAGCCTGAGACCACGCCCAGCAGGCCTGCCCGGGCCTCAAAGCCCACCCTCGGCGTGTCGGCGGGTGCGGGGCAGGCCCACCAGATGCTGGGGAGGGTCCCACCAGGCCTGGCCGTGCCAGCAGAAGCCAGTGGGTCCCAGAGATCTGACGCCCGTCACGCGCAAGGCCCCCCTGCCCCCCACTGCCAGCCCCAGTCACCTGGCCCCTGATGGTCAGTGGACACTAGTCCTGAACTGAGTCCCCAGACGGCAGTTCCATATACCCAGTGGAAGGCTGGGGTCATGGAATTCTTTTTCTTTTGGGGGCTGTGGGTGGGGCGCGTTCACTCCCGGCACCCTGCTATGCTCGGGGCTGACTCCTGGCTCTGCATGCAGGAATCATCCTGCCGGTGCCCAGGGGACCCTATGGGACGCCGGGAATGAAACCGGAAGTGGCTGTGTGTGAGGCAAGCGCCCTCCCTGCTGTGCTATCGCTCTGGCCCAGCAAGATCGTTTTTACGTATTTTATTTTTTAAAATTTTTCTTAGTGAAACACCATGAGGTACAGTTGTATGTGTAAACACACAAAAAGACGGGCAAAGGGACGGCAGCGGCCTATCTCTCCCGCCGCCTGCGTTCGGTAGTCTCAGGCCATTTCCCCACTCCAGGGAGGTCAATGGCAATGGGCAGGCGAAGGAAGGAAACGAGGGCCAGGCTGGTTGGTCGTAGCAGCAGTTTATTACATGGAAGAAGTGTATGTCATAGAGGCCCCAGGATCTCTCAAGCATGTGCTCTCCAAGAGAGCCCCGAAAATCTCCTTCTATAGATCATGGTACCTCTAAAGGACGCAATATAGTGATGTCATCAAAAGGAGTTACAGAAAGAACACTGAGTCAAAACATACATTGTCTCCTTACATCTGCAGGCCAGTAATCTTGGCCTCAGGAAAGAAGATACAAAACCAAGACCAAAATCTTCCACAAGCACTTTCACAAGCTACAAGCACTTGGGTTTGCATCTCAAAGACCAGTCTGCTAGAGCTTGGAATCTACTTCAGGCCTGGCTAGCACCTGAGATCTGCATATCTAAGACCAGCTAGGTTCCTGTGAGAAAAGGGAAGGAAGCTGCCTCTTACAATATACTGAATTTACTGAAGGCAGTTTGAAGGGGAGGAATGTTCAGTCTTATCCAAGCTAGTCAGGACACACGGGAAAACTGCTTCTAGGACAGATTCTCATTTAGCAGATCAACCCACCCTGGAACAGAATTCCCTGGGTGTGTTTCTCCTCTCCTTGTCCGACCAACATATAAGCATACATAATATAAATCATTTTGTATGGACACAGTAAGAAATACTTTGCGCTTATAGAATTGCTCTCCTAGGGCCATCTCGATCTCAGACTGCCGTGCTCAGGCCAGATATCTTTCCTATTCTTAGCAGCAGGGTCCTAGTCTCGTCGTTACTTTTGGATCATGACAGTATTTGCCTACGATCAAACTCTTAACCTATAGTTAAGAATCGTGGCACCTTGGCCTGGCCCATCGCGATGCCAGGGTAGCACATAACTTACCAGCTTGCCCTGGTTCCATTCAGTCCCATGTCGGGACCCTGCTTTTGGGGGCGCTAGGAAGTGAGGGCAACTGAGGCTTATGTTGAGAAAGCAGATGCCCAGGAGTGAATAATATTCAAGGCCAATTAAATCCTAAGTTACAAAGCATAATATTAATCGTCTTCCTGACTCTGTACAAAAGGGACATCGCATTAAAGCAAACTATTTAAAAGACATAAGGAGAGGAGAAAGGCAATATTAACTTGCAATACAAGTTCAGTGTCCTAGAAGGATGAGACCTTAAAATTGGTTGGGGAAGAGAGCACAAAGAAATAGTTACAGACAAACATAGTAATGGGAATGACTCGGGAGCACTGTGATGGGTGCAACCCGATAAACCTAAGCTCCTTGTACTCCAACAGTTGTAGACTTACAAATTTTTGTGCTTGGGTTTCGGTTATACAATGATCGAGTACCCATCCCTCCACCAGTGCCCCTTCACCACCAGTGATCCCAGTATCCCTCCCACGCCCCACCCCCCCCCCCCATCCCACCCTGCCTCTGTGGCAGGGCATTCCCTTTTGTTCTCTCTCTCCTTTTGGGTGTTGTGGTTTGTGAAGGAGGCATTGAGTGGCAATCATGTTCGGTCTATAGTCTACTTTCAGCATGCTTCTCCCATCCTGGGTGGATCCTCCCAACACCCTTTACTTGGTGCGCCCTTCTCTATCTGAGCTGCCTTTTCCCCCAGCATGTGTGGCTGGCCTCCAAGCCATGGAGGAAACCTCCTGGTTCTTATCTCAACTATTCTTGGGTGTTTGTCTCCCATTCTGTTACTTTATATTTCCCAGATGAGTGCACTCTTTTTATGTCTGTCCCTCTCTTTCTGGAGCGATAGCACAGCGGGTAGGGCGTTCGCCTTACAAGCGGCCAACATGGCCGACCCGAGTTCGATTCCTCCGCCCCTCTCGGAGAGCCCGGCAAGCTACCGAGAGTATTCGATATGCCAGACAAGTAACAACAAAGTCTCCAATGGAGACGTTACTGGGCCCGCTCGAGCAAATCGACGATCAACGGGAGGGCCTTTACCTTTACCTTTACCATTTCACTTAGCATGATACTTTCCATGTAGTACCACTTGTATGTAAATTTCATGACTTCATCTTTTCTAACAGCTACATTGTACTCCATTATGTAGATGTACCAAAGTTTATTTAACCAGTCATCTGTTCTCGAGCACTCGGGTTTTTTCAAGATTTTGGCTATTGTAAAGAGTGCTGCAATGAAGAAACAAGTGCAGATGTCACTTTGACTATACTTTTTTGCATCTCTGGGATATATTCCCAGGAGTGGTATTGCTGGGTCAAATGGGAGCTCAATCTCTAATTTTTTGAGAATCGTCCATACTGTTTTCCAGAAGGGCTGAACCAGTCTGCATTCCCACCAGCAGTGTAGGAGGGTCCCTTTCTCCCCACATCCATGCCAACACCGATTGATTTTGTTCTTTTGGATGTGGGCCAGTCTCTGTGGTGTGAGATGAAATCTCATTGTTGTTTTGATCTGCATCTCCCTGATGATTAGTGATGTAAAGCATTTCCTCATGTGCCTTTTAGCCATTTGGATATCTTCTTTGAGAAAGTTTCTGTTCATTTTGTCACCCCATTTTTTGATGGGGTTGGATGTTTTCTTCTTGTGGAGTTCAACTAGTGTTTTGTATATCCTTGATATCAACCCCTTATCAGATGGATATTGAGTGAATATCCTTTCCCATTCTGTAGATTGTCTTTGTATTCTGGTCACTGTGTCTTTTGAGGTGCAGAAGCTTCTTAATTTAAGATAGTCCTATTTGTTTATCTCTGTTTCCACTTGGTTGCTCAGTGTAGTGTCGTCTTTGAAGATACCGTTAGCCTTAATATCGTGGAGGGTTTCACGGACCTTGTCTTCAGTGTACCTTATGGATTTTGGCCTGATGTTGAGGTCTTTAATCCATTTTCATCTGACTTTTTTGTGCATGGTGTTTGGTCGAGGTCTAAGCCCATTTTTTGGCATGTAGTTGTCCAGTTATGCCAGCACCGTTTCCTTATTCCACTTCACATTTCTTGCTCCCTTATCAAATATTAGATGTTCATACATTTGGGGTTGTGTGTACAGATATTCCACATTGTTCCATTGGTCTGTGGGCCTTTCTTTGCTCCAGTACCATGCTGTTTTAATTATTATCGCTTTGTAGTAGAGTTTGAGGTTGGGGAGGGTAATGCCTCCCAATGTCTTCTTCCCAAGAATTGCTTTAGCTATTTGTGGGCGTTTGTTGTTCCATATGAATTTCAGGAGTGCTTGATCCCTTTCTTTGAAGAATTTCATGGGTGTCCTTATAGGGATCGCATTGAATCTGTGTAGTGCCTTGGGGAGTATTGCCATTTTGACCATGTTAATTCTTCTATCCATGAGCAGGGGATATATTTCCATTTCCTCATGTCCTCTTTTATTTCATGGAGTAGCGTTTTGTAGTTTTCGTTGTAGAGGTCCTTTACCTCTTTGGTTAGGCTGATTCCGAGGTACTTGATTTTCTGGGGCACGATTGTGAACGGAATTGTTTTTTTCATGACCGTCACTGTCCCTTCTAATCTTTTTCAACCTGAAATCTATGTTGTTGGATACTAGTATGGCTACCCCGGCTTTTTTTTTTTTAATCAAGCAAATTTCCTCTCAGGGAGTTTATTCATGACACTACTTAATTTCCCTCCTAAAACATGGATTGTTCCATCAGTCTAACACAGCTCAGGATTTCTGTCTTCATATTAATACCCCAGCTTTTTTGAGGGAGCTGTTTGCTTGCAGGATTATTTTTCATTCTTTAATGTTGAGTCTTTGTGTGCTCTGACTTTTCAGATGAGTTTCTTTTTCTTTTTTCTCTTTCTTTCTTTCTTTCTTTCTTTCTTTCTTTCTTTCTTTCTTTCTTTAATTTTTATTAGTGAAACACCATGAGGTACAGTTGTAGACTTACAGATTTTTGTGCTTGGGTTTCAATTATACAATGATCAAGTACCCATCCCTCCACCAGTGCCCATTTTCCACCACCATGGGTCCCAGTACCCCTCCCACCCCCCAAAGCCCTCATCCCACCTTGCCTCTGTGGCAGGGCATTCCCTTTTGTTCTCTCTCTCCTTTTGGGCATTGTGGTCCGCAAAAGAGGCACTGAGTAGCAGTCATGTTTGGTCTATAGTCTACTTTCAGCACGCTTCTCCCATCCTGGGAGGATCCTCCCAACACCCTTTACTTGGTGCTCCCTTCTCTATCTGAGCTGCCTTTTCCCCTAGCATGTGTGGCTGGCTTCCAAGCCATAGAGCAAACCTCCTGGTAATAATCTTGGCCACTCTCGGGTGTTAGTCTCCTATTTTGTTACTTTATGTTCCCCAGATGAATGCAATATTTCTATGTCTATCCCTCTCTTTCTGACTCAGATGAGTTTCTTAGAGGCAGCAGAATGTTGGTTTCCGTTTCTGGATCCATTTTTCCACTCTATGTCTCTTGATTGGTGCATTTAGACCATTGACATTGAGAGAGATTATTGTCATGGGGTTTTGTGCCATCTTTTTGTAGGGGTTGGTTGTGCTTATAGGTGTTTTCCTTGTCTTACAGGAGTCCCTTTAGTCCTTCTTTTAGGTTTGGTTTTGAGTCTAAGAAGTTCCTGAGCTGTTGTTTATCTATAAAATGGTGTATCATTCCATCGAATTTGAGAGTTTAGCTGGATAAAGTATTCTTGGTGAGGTGTTCATTTCGTTGAGTTTTTTTTTGGTTGTTTTTGTTGTTGTTGTTGTTGTTGCTTTTTGGGTCACACCCGGCAATGCTCAGGGGTTACTCCTGGCTCTGCACTCAGGAATCACTCCTGGCAGTGCTCGGGGGACCATATGGGATGCTGGGAATCAAACCTGGGTCAGCCGCGTGCAAGGTAAACATCCTCCCCGCTGTGCTATCACTCCAGCCCCTCATTGGGTTTTTTCATTATATCCCACCATTGCCTTTGGGCTTGGAGGGTTTCCTCTGATAGGCCTGCTGTAAATCCAAGGGGTGCTCCTTTGTATGTGATTTCCTTCTTTGACCTTGCTGCTTGCAGTATTGTGTCTCTATCCATGATTCCATCATTCTGACTATGATATGCCTTGGAGTGTTTTTATTAGGGTCTCTTTGGCTGGCACCCTTCTGGCTCCTTGGATCTGGATGTCTGCATTCTTTAACTCTGGGAACTTTTTAGCAATGATTTCTTTGACCGTGGTTTTTCATTGGGGTTGCCTCCTTGTCCTTGTGGTACTCCAATGATTCTAATGTTGTTCCTCTTGGAGTCATCCCTTAGGTCTCTGATTCACCTTAGGACTATTTTGAGGTCTTTTCCCATTGTTCGTTGTTGCCTATACAATTTCTGCTGCTCATCTTCAAGTTCACTGATCCTGTCTTCGGCTGTAGTCATTCTACTGTTGAGGGCACTCACTGAGTTTTTAATTTCATCTACTGAATCCTTTATTTGTAGCACTTCTTTTTGTAGCTTTTTTTTTTTATTTCTGCTCTCATTTCTTCCTGTATTTTCTCAACTATCCGATCCACTGTTTCTTTCATTTCTCCCTTTAATTTTCTGGATGTCTGCTCCATTGATTCTTTGAGTTCCTTGAATTCTTTATCAGAGAGCTCGTATTTGTGGGTAACCCCTGTTGAAGATTCGGGACTATTTTCTTCGTCCTCTCCTCGTAGTGGAGATTTGTGTTGTTTCCTCATGTTTTATGGTTGTGTAGAGGTAGAACCTTCAGGTTCACTAGCACTGTTCCCTCTCATTGCGGGAAAGGGTTCTGAATGAGCTCAGTCGATGGTGGTCACCCTTCTCCCCTTCTAGAATACGTCCTTCCTCTCGGACATTATTCTGTGACTTATGATCGGCGTCTAGTGAAGCATTGGAGGATGTGCTCTTTTACATAGGGTTTGTACAGCTTTTTGTATACATTGGTCTTTTAATGGAGTTGATGTAGGCCAGTGGATTGCTATCGTCTTGTGTTTGAGGCGGCTGGGACGTTTTGCACAGAATTAGGTGATACAGGTTGGGATATGAGTTGAGAGAGCTGGGAATGGGAAATTAACTGTGGCCACACTGAAGGCCACGCCCACTTTGAGGAGGCCACGGCCCCTACAGTGGAGGCTGTACCCCCAGCCTGTCTGGATGCTGGAACCCGGGACCAAGGGCTTGTGCAGAAGAAAGGCCGGGGCTAGGTGGGAGGGCATGAGGTGGAACTCTGGCGAGTGCCCCCAGGGATCTGTCCGGGTGGCAGGCGATTGGGGCCGCAGGGCGGGGTGGGACGGGGCAAGATCGTTTTTATTGAACAAAATATGCTCAGAAAGATGTGAGGGGGAGAGAGAAGTACGTGTCCGAGAGAGAGCGTGGGCTTTTCCAGGGTGGAGAAAGCGGAGACGTTAAACGGACTAGTGAGACCCCCGTATTGAGGGAGGGCGGGGCGGGGACAGCAAACGAGGGCTGACTTCCTGCCCAGCTTTCAGCTTTCATCCCGAATAGCGGGTTTCCAAATAGCGGGTTTCTAGGAACTTGTCCCTTCATTAATGCCAGTCAGCTGCTAAAGAGGCATTGGCAGTGCCTGGGCTGATTCTCAGAGCACGTTATGGACCAAAGGTTAGAATTATCTCATTATTTTTGTTCGTGATTTTTTCCAATTAAAGGAAAAAGGAAGTGGGATAAAAACAGTGACCTTACCCCAGAGAGAAGCGTTTGCCCTGAGAACCCCAGAGGGTCTTGTGACTCAGCAAGGGGGAGCCACAGCACCCCGGTGGAAGCGCCCCAGAAGACTCCCAGGGAAAACGAGGACAAGTTCCGGGGACACCTGAGGTTCCCAAACCCTGGGAAATTCACTCATTCAGAGGGCGTGACCCAGGCCCGGACATGTCTCCAAGGCTGGCTCTTGGCTCACATGCAGGGGCCTGGGGTCGGCTCTGTGCCCCGTGCTCTGAGTAGCCACTGAGCACTGCTGGAGGGCTCCAACCACGAGAAGTGAAGGGTGAGGGCAGAACTCAGAGGGACATTCTGGCTGTTCTCAGGGGTCACCCTTCTGCGGGTGCAGGAGGATGGAGACGTGGGCCTCGCTTGGGAAGAATGCAGTGATCTGGGGGGTGATTGGGCCGGCATGGAGCATCCTGGACAGTTCTGGACAAACCCAGGGTTTGGCTGATGTGCAGAGAACCAGTGTCGGAGGTGTAGTGTGTCCTTGTCGGCCGGCGAGGCCGGTCTGGCCTTGGCAGTGCAGGTGACAGTGACAGGCGGTTCCCTCTGCAGAACACCGTGACGCAGTACTCGCAGCTGTTCCACGACTTCACCACCACGCAGGTGGGCATGCACGACCTGGTGCGCGGCTTCCGGCAGACCCTGGACCAGTACAGCCGGGAGCCGGGGAGGTACAGGTAGGTAATGCAACCGGGGCCCACTTGGGGACCGTCTCCTTGTGAGTTTCCGTGCAGCCGCAGGCTTGCCTGGTCGCCCTCGGCTGTGTGGCGTCACCGGCCCTCTGGTCATGACCGCCACCGGAGCGCAGGCAGTCACGCGCCGGGCTGCGTCCTGTGGCCTCCCCCGAGCAGGCGCAGTGTGGCCTCCACGTCCGTCTCATCAGGTGAGGCAGGCCGTGGTGCTCACGCTTGCCGACCCGCTGCTGCTGTGCAGGTTCCTGGGGACTGTGGCCTCGGGCGAGGGCATCGATGGGACCATGATGTACTACGGGCTGCCCTTCATCCAGGAGGCCGACTTCCCCCTCAACGACGGCCTGGGCCAGCTGGACGCGCCCTCGGCGCGCCGCGTGTATGAGGCCATCAAGTCCTGGATGGAGAACATGCCGGAAGGAAAGTGGCCCAACTGGATGGTGAGTCGCGGAGACTGCCGGCCGGCACCCTCGTGCAGTGCCCACAGCCCTGGGGGTCGCCCTACCAGTGGGAGCGGGCATGCAGATGCACACGGAGGGTGTGCGGGGGTGTGCACGTGCGTGCGTGTGTGTGGGTGTGTGCACATGTGGTGTGTGGGTGTGTGCATCTGTCTGCAGGTGTGTAAACTGTGTGGTGTGTGTGGACGTGTGTGGGTGTGTGCACATGTGCGTGTGTGGTGTGGGGGTGTGTGCATGTGTGTGCATGTATGCCTGGCATTTGTTGGTGAGTGTGTGCTGGAGTGTGGTGTGTGCATGTATGTGCACAGTGTTGGTGAGTGTGTGGGTGTGTGCAGGTGGGTGTGTGCAGTGTCTGTTAGTGTGTGTGGTACATGCAGGGTTTGTGGGCATGTGGGGATTTGTATGGTGTTTGTTGCTGGGTGCATGTGTTTGTGGGTGTGTGCGGTGTTCCCGGATCTGTGCAGTTTGCAGGTTTGCGGGTCTGTGCTGAGTCAGGTGGGGTGTCTGGGAGCACGCAGAGTCCCCCTGTGGGCGCCTCCCGCTGGGCTGTGCTTGGTCACGTGGCCTTTCAGAGGCCGCCGGGCCAGAGTGTGTGGGAAACTGACCCTGCAGGCCCTGAGCGGCCTGGGGGCCCTCGGCCATGTGCGTGCCATAGCCGCGTCCTGTTCCCGCCCACCTGCCACCAAGGGCTGGGCTGGGCTGGCCTCTCTGAGATGTGGGGGAGTGCGCAAGTATCTGTACCCGAGACCCTGCGGCCTGCTGGACACTCAGAGGAACTGGAGCCCGGTGGTGGTGTGGGTTGGCCCCACAGGAGAGCCCGGAGTGGGGCGTCTGGAAGGACCAGGTGTTCCCGGGTGGCCAGAGGGAGTCTGTGCCCGGTCCTCCCCTTCAGGCTGGGCTGGGCTCTGCAGGACCCCGTCTTGTGTGGGGTCGGCTGCCAGCTGACCTCACTGGTGGCTACCAGAGGACGCACTTGCCACGTGGGATTCAGGGCACAGAGCAGACAGGCCAAGGTTGCCGTGGGCTGGGCCACGGAGGGCGGGGCCACAGGACACTCCCTGGGGTCCCAGGACAGTGCCTCTGGGTGTGGCCCCAGACCAAAACCAACAGCCAAAAAGGCAGAAAGCATTTACACAGCTTTGAGTTACTCTACGTTTTCAGATAAAAGTGGGTTTCTTTCATTCAAATTAATCTTGAGGACCGGACAGTTCAGTAGGTAGGGCATTTGCATCGCATGCAGATACCTGGGTTTGATCCCGGACACCGCATGTGGTCCCTTGAGGACCGCCAGGAGTGATAACTGAGCTCAGAGCTGGGCGTGAGCTCTGAGCACTGCCAGGAGCGGCTTAAGAGCAAAACCAAAAATGTCTTGAGGAGTCCAGCCGTCGGTACGTGCGGGCCCTCCAGAGTGCCCCCTCGGCCTGCCCTGCTTCCATGTCTCAGACATCTTCCCAGCTTACACGTGGGGTGCCGAGAGGTCCTCGTCACTCTGGCCCTGGCTGCAGGATGCTGTCAAGCCGGTCCCGTCGCTGGCTCGTGGGCTGTGAAGCCAGTCCCGTTGGTGGCACACCGGTGCGCAACATATCGGCCCCAGCACAAGCTGCAGACTCAGGCCTGAATTGAGCAGCCGCTGACCTGGTGAGGTTTTAGGGAGACCCTCAGCTGTTCAGAGCCGTGATCTCGAAGCCTCTGCCTTTCAGCTCGGTGGCCCAGACTACGCCCGGCTGACTTCTCGTTTGGGGAAAGAGTTTGTCAACATCATGAACATGCTTCTGTTCACGCTCCCTGGGACCCCCATAACCTACTACGGGGAAGAAATAGGAATGAGGAACATTCTAGCCACGAACCTCAGCGAGAACTATGACGCAGTAAGTCTGTGTAGCCGAGGTGCGTGCTGTGCAGATGCTGGTCTCTGTCCACTCGGGCTCAGTGTGTCTGCTCTGTGGCCATTACGGCCCCCGCCCTTTGGACAGTGACCAGGCTGCACCGTGGATACTGTGCGATCTCAGTTCGCACACAGGCATGGTGCTGGGCACATTTGCTGGGGGCCTCACCGCCGTGCACAGGGTGAGTTGACCGGACCGGGCGGCTCGTGCCAGGGTCAGTGTGGGCCTGGGGGCGCAACTCAGCAGGGCCAGCAGGCCAGTGCCACCTCCCTGGCCTGGGGGCACCGCTGGCCACCATCGAGGCAGCACTCAGCCGCACCCACACGCTCCGCCCGACTCGGGGTGGAGGGGGGGCGCTTGGGTCTCACCGTCACGGCTGATCTCCCACCCGTAGCTCACACGGAAGCTTCCAGTCTTGTGAGATGAGTTTCCCAGAGACTGAGCTCACGGGCAGAAACGGGAGAATTAGCTCCCTGAACCGACTGCTGCTGTGGGCGGCCCTGGGGACAGCCCAGGGCCACGCCCAGCCCTGGTGCGGGGGAGGTGAGGGTGGCGGGCGTGTGGTCAGACCTCGGCGCCCCGTGTCTCTGCCTGCAGATGGTCCTGCTCTCCAAGGCGCCGATGCAGTGGGACAACAGCTCCAACGCCGGCTTCTCGGAGGGGAACCACACCTGGCTGCCCACCGGCTCCGACTACCAGACCGTGAACGTGGACGTGAGTACCTGGGGCTCGTGCCAGGCCCCGCCCAGGGCGACACATACTCAGCTGAACCCTCTCCGTGCTCCCCCACCCACTCACGGCTTCCCCTTCTTTCCCAGCACCTCTCCTGGTGGAGTTCATGGGTGCGGGCCTGTGGGCGTGGCGGGCAGTGGCCAGGGTGCTGGGCTGGCGGGGGGTCAGGCCGCCACAAGCTGCTGGGTCCAGGCTGGGCCTCCCTCAGGGCTGTGGCCGTCTCCTGGCCCTGCAGTTTGCAGTTGTGAGACGTTTGTAAGTCTCGTGTTTGTGACAACATGAACGGGGACAGAGGGCAGCTGCCTGGAGGTCAGGGCCGGCCCGTCCCTGGAGTGACTCACCCGTGTGCTCCAGAGGTCTCTGTTCCCTCTGCAGGGGACAGGGACTGGGGTCACGTGGGGGGATGTTCTGAAGGACGGCCCCGTGCCTTCCTGTTTGACTTCCGGTCACTCCAGTGACCAGGTTTTCCAAGCTCTGCAGATTCCCCATACAGGAATACATTCCAGCAGAACCGCCCATGGACCAGGGGAACCGGGTGTGGTTTCGGAGGAAGGAGGGCCCCCGCTGGGAAGGTGACGGTTCCCAGAGCAACGCGGGCATGCTTGGACCTCGCAGTGTGCCGAGACGAGAGGGCGAGGCACATGCAGAGGCCTTGACCGTGGGGATGACCAAGACCCCTGAGCACCCTTCCACCGCACGGGATTGCCTGGTTAATCCCGGGGGACCCTCAGCTTGGGGCCTCGGAGCAGAAAAGGGACACTTGGGTGGAAGCCTCAGCGAATGGGCCGGAGCGGCGAGGACAGCTCCCGGCAAACCCTCGATGAGATGAGAGACACGCGGAAAAGCAGTGGCCGGAAAGGCTGGGGAGCGCGGGAGAGGCTGCTAGGGGCCTTGGCGGACCTGGCCGCGAGCTACACGGAGTGAAGCCACGGCCAGCCCCAAGCGTGTGGCGACTTGCCAGCCGGCCCTGCGTGGTGGCCACTCAGAGAGGGCCCTGTGCCACAGGCAGGCGGACCCACGTGGCCCGACAGACACGAACCAGGAAAGGCCGACCAGCCCGGCAGTTCTGGGTCTGGCGACGGGTCTCAGAGCAGAGATTCAGGGCCCTGTGTCGGGGGACCTGCCCAGGGGCCCCACACGGGTCCTACCACAGAAGGGGGGGCTGAGCCGCAGCCGTCGGCAGGAAACTGCAGACTCAGCCGTGCGGTGGCCCTCCACGGGACCTGCAGCTGTAAAGGGCGCACGAGCACCCAGGGTGCGGGCGCAGAGGCCGGGATCGTGGCCGGCCTCCAGCGCCCACTTTCCTGTCCTTGCTCCTGCACTGTAGACGGTGCAAGCGCTTCCTGTTCAAAGCGAAACGAAAACCCCAGCGCCACGGAGCCGGTGTGGAGATGTTTAATGGTGGGCAAAATAGGGTTCCACATGACGTCTGGGACAAGGCAGTTTTCAGAAATTGGAAAAGAAAGGACACTCGACTGCAAATCATGGTTCTCTGCAGCTCTCACAGCTTCAAGTCTATAAAAATGGACTCTGGGAGACGCAGAGACGGACGGTTCAGTCACAGGGGCACCTCCGCATCCTCGTGGGAAGCCCCATGACGAAGTCGCCGCACTCACCAGCACTTAGCAGAGGGCGCCGTAGGGTTTCCCACGCGTCCTCCAAGGCACACAGGAAGCTGACTGCGACGGGTCACGCCGAAGACCCAGCCCGGGGCGCTCTCATTAGCCGCACTGCGCAAGGATGCGCCCACAGCCAGGCCTGAGGAACCCTGGGTGGCAGCGACTCAGCAGGACCCCGGGCTTGGCGGCCCCTGGGGAGGGTGAGTCAGCTCGTGCCGGCGCCTGTACTCCGGCCAGCTCTCTCCTCGTGGTCCCCGCCCTAATAAGGAACGCGAGGGGCCCCTGCCGTGCACGCAGCTGACTCAGCTTTGATCCCCGGCCTCCCGTAAGGGCCCTTGTGCCCCACCAGGAGTGACTCCCGGTGTAGAGCCAGGAGTAAGTCCTGAGCATCACTGGGTCTGGCCCAAAAGGAGGAAAACAAAACTCAGCCCGCAGACAAGACAGACAAAATACTCGCGCTTCTGGCATGAAGTGGCTGAGTGTGGTCCGACCATGCAGAACCTTGTCATCCAGATCACCCAGAAGAAATGGACGATACTTGAAACGTTAAGAAAACGAACAAAAAAGGATGAAGAACACCATTCCGTTCTGCAGTCGAGCGCAGCAAGACAACCCAATACTGGGCATTTGGCCTTAGGGTTAAAAACGTGTCCTGCGTGGAGGGTGCCCGCGCTGGCCTCCCCCTGGCCCTCACCAGACGGGGGCAGAAGCCTCCTCTCCCCGCAGCCCAGGCCACAGGGACGTTTCTGACGCGTAGGTGGAGGCAGGTTCCGTGCTGAGTGGAGACGCTGAGCCCCGCCCGGGCTCCCCTGGGAACAGGCGCCCACCAAGGGTCCCATGGGCCGAGCCAACTGTCCCCTAAAGCTCCTGGTAATTCGAGGAGCAGCATGACGCAGACTGTTCTGGGGAATTCACTGTTTGCTTTGGGGGTAGCCTGGTGGTCTCGGGGCCACGAGGCCGGGTGAGGGCAGCCGTGTGACCTCCGGCTTCCTCTCTGGCCCGAGCAAGTTTCTGGTTTGATTCCGAGAGTGCTCAGACTGTCGTCCCACTGTTCGGGTCCGCAGGCGCAGAGGAGACAGCCGGACTCGGCGCTGCGGTTCTACCAGGAGCTGGGGCGGCTGCACGCGAGCGAGCTGGCCCTCAGCCGGGGCTGGCTCTGCCTCCCGCACAGCGACACGTCCGTGGTCGTGTACGCGCGCGAGATGGACGGCCTCGACTCCGTCTTCCTCGTGGTCCTGAACTTCGCGGAGCCCCTGCTGGTCGACCTCACGCGGGTGATTCCCGACGTGCCCCCGAGAGCGAGCGTGCGGCTGAGCACCAACGCCGACCTCCAGGGCCAGGAGGTGGACACGGCCGCCGTGCGGGTGGGCCGGGCCGAGGGCCTGCTCCTCCAGTACCCCACGCGCAGCCCCCTGCACAGCCAGCCCGCCTTCCAGGGCAGGTGCTTCGTCTCCAACCGGGCGTGCTACTCGCCCGTGCTGGACATGCTGTACACCTCGTGCTAGGCGCCCGGCCGCCCTGCTCGCGCCACGGGCAGCGTCCGTGAGAATAAAACTCTGGACAGAGAAGGGGTCTGTGGGTCACGTCACTGAGCCTGGGTCAGAGGCAACAGACCGGGCCAGCCCAGGGGCCCAGCGCACCCTGACGGGAGAATATTCCTTCTCTGGGGGACGCGGACGCACACACACGCGCACTCCTCCTGGCCACTGGGGGCAGGACCCGACGGAAGCTGCTGGGAGGCCACTGGGAGACAGACAGGGCGGCTTTAGGAGCACTGTGGGGATGAGTGTCCTCAGCTGGACGTGGGCACGCGCGGGCAGGAAAATCGAACTTTAAAAACACCTTGATGGGGCTGGAGCCATAGCACAGCGGGAGGGGCATTTGCCTTGCATGCAGCCGACCCGAGTTCAATTCCCAGCATCCCATATGGTCCCCTGAGCACCGCCAGGAGTAATTCCTGAGTGCAGAGCCAGGAGTGACCCCTGAGCATAGAAAATAGAACTATACCAGCAGTTTCCAGTTCCTGTTGAAGGTCCCGTTTCAGATCTTGAGGTATTTCTTAAGGTTCTGCAGCACAGTGCGGCTGTCCAGGCCCAGCTCTGCATACAGGAACCTGATCTGGGCTGTGACCTGCGGGGGAGGGCAGAGGTGAGGGCAGGGGTGAGGGCAAGGAGGGGGCCGCCCCCGCGCCAGGGGCCCAGATAGACCTTCTCGGGAGAGTCCTCCAGGACGTGGCTGCCTCCGGGCTGAATATTCAGGATGATGTTGGGGGCCTGGTAACCTGAGAGAGAGCAGACAGTCGGGCGGGGGGACAGGGCCTGGGCACGACAGTGAGCGGGTGGGTCCTCAGGACAGGAGTCGGAGCGGGGGAGGCGGCCGCCTGTGGGGGCCTGGCCGGGCTGGTCTCGGGGCAGCACTCAGCTGTGACTGGGCCCAGGGACTCCCGCCTGCGCCCACCTTCTCCGGCTGCCTCCGCGTGCTGGGCCACAGCCCCCCGGAGCTTCTGGGCGTAGCGGAGGATGCCCTGCAGAGGCACCCGCGCGTCTCCCTTGCAGGCCGTGATGTGCATCGCCGGGTAGGGCTGCGGACAGAGACAGCAGCTGAGTCCTGCCCCGGCCTCCCGGCCCCCTGCCCGGCCCCCTGCCCACAGGGGTCTCAGCCCGGTCTCGGGCCGCTCGCCTGCCTGAGGCCGGATGTTCTCGTAGGGGCAGTAGCTCTGGATGCAGGCCCGGTGCTGCTCGTCGGAGGACGGGTCCCCCCACTCCTCGCGCTCCTCCAGCGTCAGTGGCAGCCTGCTGTCCATCATGGTGCCAAGCACGTCCAGGAAGGGCGCCTGCGGGACACCGAGTGCAGAGACTGGGGCCGCCACGGCCATGCCCGCTCCCCCGCGGGCCCGAGCGACCCAGTCCGCAGCCAGGGGAGAGGCTCTTGCTCTGGCGCCTCCATCCACGGGGGGATGTGTGCTGGGCCCATGGGGAGGGGCGACCCCTGCCTGCTGGGTGGGGGTAAACACGGAGGAGAAGGTGCTGCGGGTCTGTCGGAGTCGGCCCCGGCCCGTGCCGTACAGGCCTGGTGTGGGGCCGGGCGGGCACTCACCTCCAGGGTCACGGCCCTGAGCAGCTCGGGGCGGGTGTTGCAGAGGGCACCCGCCAGCACCCCGCCGGCGCTGAGGGCACTGAGGGCGGTCAGGCGGGGCTGGGAGTAGCCCTGGCCGTGGAGGGTCTGCACACATGCCTCCAGGTCAGCCAGGCCGTTGGGCTTCTTGGCGAGCCGGCCGTCCGCGTGCCACTGAAGGCCCAGCTCTCCGCCACCACTGCGCCAGAATGCAGGACACGGGTCAGCAGGGCCCGCGGCTGATGGCCTGTGCTCAGGGCCTGGGACAGGCAGGGGAGCCCAGAGCCACCGGCCCCCTTCTTGGTGTTTACAGGGGCCACGGGGCCTGGGCACCAGGCGCCGGCCATTCTGGGGCCCAGCAAGGCCTCGGAGATGCTGCGTCCCCCCTGCCCTGGCTGGTCCCACGGCACATGGAAGGCGCAGGCTCGGCCGCCAGGCCCAGGGGTGCGGGCAGGAGCCGGCCAGCCCCCAGGACTCACCGGACGTGGCAGTAGGCCAGGATCCACCCATCGTCCAGCAGCACCCGGCGCTCAGGCCGGAAGCCCATGGGCAGGTCCACCCCGTAGGCGCCGTACACGTGGACCAGCAGCGGCTGCTCCTGCAGGCCCTCGGCCCCGGCTCTGTGGAACACGGTCATGGGCACTGCTCTGCCATCCTGAGGGAAAGGGCAGCTGTGGGCCGCTGCCGCGTCCGGCTCTGCACTGCCCCCTTCTGGACGGCCGCCCACCTGCACCTGCCTCTGGGCGACTTCACCTTCCCTTCCCCTGACCAAGTCAGCGCAGGGCACCTGTGTAAGTGGCCTTCCTCTCTCCATCTCCCACGAGAAGACCCTGGTGGCCGGTGTGGGGAGGGGTAAGGGCAGGCGGTGACCAGGGCTGGCCTCCCGTCCCTAAGGCAGAGGCCTGGCAGCAGGCCAGGGCGGGGCAGGTGCAGGGCACTGGCTGGGCCCTGCCCTGCCCCGAATGGACCCAGTCCCCGTGCCCGGGATCTCCGTGAAGACGAACCAGACATGGGAGGGTCTCGAGGCAGTGGCTGGCTGGGGGCGGCAGCTTCTCCCCGGGTGGGGGCTCTGGGCCCGAGCACACGCCTCGTGCCCTCCAGGGGCTCGGGGACACAGCTGGGCCCCACTCCTCCCTCACCAGAGCCACTGCCCGCTCCTGTCCCCTGGGCCCGTCCTCAGGGCCTCTGAGAAGCACCTGCCCTGTCCGTCTCCCAGTGTCCACGGCGGTCCCCCGCATGATGGCCTCGGTCACCACCCCGGCTGCCTCCTGCCAGCTGGGCTCTCCAGGCCAGACACGCCACAGGCGAGACGACATATGGCGTCTCCCACCATGTCAGGGACTGCCCGAGGCCCAGACAGACGCTCGAGCTCCCTGTGACCAGGGGCCGCGGGCAGCTGCCCTCGGGCACGTGCTCACCGTGCTGTTGGCTTCGAGCCGGAGCACGCGGCTGGTCTCGGTGATGGGGTCTTCGTGTCCCGTCTCCTCGAACAACGCGCCTTCTGCAAACTTGTATGTGTAGTGCTTGGGGGGGTGGACGGGGGAGCACAGCTGGAAGGGGCAGTTGTCCGGGTCCGAGTCTGCCTCCGGGATGAGGGCACAGGCCCAGGGCGGGAGCTGAGGAGAGAGGCAGCTTCACCGGGACAGGGCCCTGGCACCGAGCAGAGCCCGAGGACACGTCCTCCCCATCGTCGTCCATGGCAGGGCCAAGTGCCACCTTGGCCCACTGAGTGATATATGTATCTGCCCAGTGAGGCGGAGCCCCCGAGCAGGGGGCGGCGAGGGCCAGGAGGCTCCGGGCTCTGGACTCAGGAACCCCCTTAAGGAACGTGTGTGCCCCCGAGCAGGAGGCGGTGATGGGCAGGAGCGAAAAGCCCGGCTGACCTCTAGACTCCCCCCGCCTGCCCGCCGGCCGTGGTGACGGCCATTGTCCAGCCCTGCCCCTGCCTGTTCTGCTCCCCCGCGGAACAAAGCCCAGGGCACAGGCCGTCACACGCGGCCTTGAGGGTTAGGAGCCGATCTTGTCCAGAAAAAGGGAAGAATCGGGGCTGGTTCTCTGGCGTCCAGCCGGACTCAGCCCCGACACGCCAGGGAGCCACCGGGAAGAAGCCGCAGCTAACTGCTCTGGCCACCTGAGAGACCCACGGCCACAGCCCCGCCTGCCCAGGGCGGCCTGGACACTCCCGAAGGCTCCTGGGACCAGAGCAGTGACCCCTTGCTCCTGCCCAGGCCGTGTCCAGTCTCTGGCCACGCGGGGCGCTGACACCAAACAGGCCCTAGAGATCCACGTTGGTGGCAGGAGCTTGGCTCTGTCCACGGCACTGGCGTCCCTGCCCCCCTGAGCACAGGCCTTAGCCTGAGCGCCACCAACCCACATGGCAGCCGCCATGTGAGGGGATGCCCATTGGGGCCCTTGGGACAGGCCTAGGAGGTGGCCCTTTCAGAACCACACAGTCTCCTGAGGCCTGACTCGGCCGAGACACGCACACAGCAGACCCCGCTCTCCACGCTGTGGCCACCCCACCCCCGCCCCACTCCCAAGTCACCCCCGGGGAGCAGACTCGCAGAACACGCCTCTGAGGAACTTGGAAGTGTGTCCTAACCTGAGACCGGCAGGTCCCGTCAAGGACAAGCCAAGGCCGCCGCGCGGGAGACACCCACCTCCAGGGAGCGGATAGAGCCGTCGGCCAGCCCGAGGACGCTCAGGCACAGCCGGCCGCGGTGCCGGAGGAACAGGACGCAGTGATCCCGGAACATGTCCAGGTCCAGCACCCTGGTGTCCCTCCCCGTCGTGAGGACCAGCTCCCAGTTCACGGCAGCAGGGCTGTCCGCCGGCGCCTGCATGAGCTGTGCAGAGAACGGGGGCATGGCCGCATGAGCCCACAGGGCCACGTCGGGCAGACGGGCCGCAGGCCGCAGGGTCCCCCGGGTGGTCATGGACCTGGACAGTCTGTTTCAGGGGGCCGGAAGGAGCCCCTCCCGAGGGTAAGGAATGGGGGTCTCGCCCGGCCTCGGCCCACCTTGAACTCGGGGGGCTCGCCGGCGTTGGTGAGGATGTAGAGCGTGCCGGCCCGGTGCTCCACGTGGTACAGGACCCCTGGGACACGCTCCTGCACCAGCCTCGGGGGCGCCCAGGGGTGCAGGCTGTCGACCAGCCACACCTCGGAGGTGGTCTTGCTCCTGACATTCAGAGTGAGGAATCGCCGGTCTTTGGTGAGGTAAAGGAAGGCGAAGTAGCTAGAGAGGGAGGGAGAGGTGAGCGGGCCCGACGTGGCCCCTGGCACCGGGCCCACATGACAGGGAGCTCACCCCTCACAGCAGGCCTGGCGCGGCCACATGCCGCAGCTGCCAGGGGCTTCTGGGCGGGGCCCGGGTCCACTCCTGACGTCCCGGAAGCCCCCCCACCTGCTTGGGCCCACTGGCTTTCACTTGCCCACAATTTAGACTTTTTTTTTTGCTTTTTGGGTCACACCTGGCGACGCACAGGGGTTACTCCTGGCTCTGTGCTCAGGAATAACCCCTGGCGGTGCTCGGGGGACCATATGGGATGCTGGGAATCGAACCCAGGTCGGCCGCGCGCCAGGCAAACGCCCTCCCCGCTGTGCTATTACTCCAGCCCCACCACAATTTAGACTTTTTAATCAGAATTTTAAATACAGGATTTGACTTTGGGGGTGGGGGAGGGAAGGCCCGGCGGTGCTCAGGGCCTCCTCCTGGCTCTGCGCTCAGGTCACTCCTGGCGGGGCTCAGGGACCTTACAGGGCGCCGGGGACGCGGCCAGGCGAGCGCCCCCCTGCGATTCTCTCTAGAGCCGCAGGCGGAGGCCCTGCCCTTGCCAGCACCAGCCCCAGGGAACCAGGCTGGTGTGTCAGCTTGGGCCTCACAGAGGGTGGCTGAGAAGCAGCCGTGAGCCAGGACAGCCTCGGGGCCTGCGGGGGCACCTGCCAGGACCCGAAACGCTGTGGCACTGCCATGTCTTGTTTCAGCCCCACTCAGCATTTTCAGATTTGGGGCCACACCCGGCCAAGCGCAGGAGACTCCCAGCTCGGGGCTGAGCTCACCCTGGACGCCTGCGGCAGCACACACACCACGGCCCCCAGCCGCATCCCCTACGGGGACGTCTTGAGATGGGGGTGGGCGAGGGGCGCACGGGGCTACCTTGGGTCTTTCTCCCTGTAAAAAAGCTCATTCCGCTTGTCTTCACCAAAAGTGGCTCGGTAGACGTCCCGGCAGCGGAGGTTTCTCTGGACGGTGTAGAACAAGACGTCTCCCTCCTCTTCGCCTTCCAGCCACTCTGGAAGAAAACCGTCAGGGCATCACCCGGCCCGCAGAGTCCAGCTCACGCGGATGGCCCCAGGGCGAGCAGGGCCACGTCGGGGCCCGGGTCCTAGCAGCTGGTCCGAGCTCCCGTGAGACCCCAAGGTCACTCTGCCGGAGACCCGGGTGAAGTCACTTTGGCCTTCCTGGTGACCCATTCACGTCTCACTGGAAGTCTCACACGTACTGGCCGCTCTCCGAGGTCTCCTGTCTGCCTTCAAGCCACAGGGCACGCTCAAGGACAGAGTGGCCGGGCCATGCTGGGCCTGGGTTCTGCCTCACGCGCCACAGCCCGACTGGACTGAAATAGGCTGTCAAGGTCCTGGGTGTCACCCCGAGGGCTGACAGTGACCCGGAGGCACCATCACATTAGACGTGGCCTGACAGGGCTGAAGGCAGACGGGAAAGTGCAGGCCAGAAACGGAGACGGGGGTAAGGCCGGACACATCCATTACTTGGTGATCAACTTTGGTTCGTTCTGTTAGTGAAAATGCCACAAATCCCGTTGGTGAGTCACCGCCACGCGCTCCAAGCTCCTCAGAGCACCACAGGCAGGTGTGTGTGGGGGGTGGAACAGTGGGGTCCCCCCGCCCGCAGGCCGTGCCCCCGACAGTGAGGATTCACTGACCCCGCCCGCACAGTGGCCACCGGGTTCCCCTGAGGCGCAGTGTCCAGGGCGAGGGGTCGGGCACCTCCTCCCCCACCCGGACTCACCAAAACTGGACACATTGGGGAGAGACGCCTCCACCGCAGGAGGCCGGCCAAGCCTCACCACCACACAGGCGCTCGCCTCGGAGTCTGCCGCCCTCACCCTGGCGGCCACGAACTCCTCACCAGGGGCCACTCGGACGGAGTCCAGGAAGGGCTGGCCCAGCCCCAGCTCGTTCAGGCTGAACAAGACCTCGTGGTCATCGCTGTCTGCTGCAGGGGGAGGCGAGAGGGGACCACGTGCGTATTCAAAAAAAAAAAAAATCGAATCCGCGGCTCACTCTCGCCGCCTGCATTTGGTGGTCTCGGGCCGCTTCCCCCACCCTGGACGGCCAACGGTGATGGGCGGACAAAGAAGGAAGCGAGGGCAGGCTGGGATCAGTTGCCGTTGATTCCAATCGCGTCTCTCCACCTCCTTCCAGTCTCACCCACTCCCGTATTCGTCCTCATCCCTCTCGGTTCTCCTCCTCTTCCTGCCCGCGCTTAAGGCCTTAGTTATATCCCAAATCGTGAGGGGGTGGGGTAGCAGTTACACATAGGAGTGGTCATACAATCCACAGAGGTCAAGTCCTTCCCTCAGGGGAAGCTACTTCAAGGACAAATTCTCATCCAGCAAGATGACCCGCTAAGGGCGAAATACCATCTCGGGATGCATTTCTCCTGCCCTTGGCCCAACAACCATTTAAATATTCATCTTCATTCTACTTCTTAATAATATTAGTCATTTTTGGGACTGGAGTGATAGTACAGCGGGTAGGGCATTTGCCTTGCACGCGGCCGACCCAGGTTCAATTCCCAGCATCCCACATGATCCCCCGAGCACCGCCAGGAGTAATTCCTGAATGTATGAGCCAGGAGTAATCCCTGCACAATGCCGGGTGTGACCCAAAAAGAAAAAAAAATTAGTCATTTTGTATGGACACAGTAAGAGATACACTGAGCTTGTAGGGTGGCTCTCCTGGGAACATCTCACTATACATCTCAGAATACAATGCTCAGGCCAGATTAATCTTTCCTGACCCTAGCAGGATCATAATCCAGTTGTTACTTTTTGGATCATGACAGAATTTGTCCATGATCAAGCTCTTAGCTTATAGTTAAGTATTATGGCACTTGGCCTGGTCCATTTTGATGCCAAGGTAGCTCACCGCTTGCCTGGGTCCATCCAGTCCCTTGTCGGGACCCTGCTTTTGGGGTGCTAGGATCTAAGGGCAACTGAGGCTTAAGTCGAGAAAGCAGATGCCCAGGAGTGAATATTATTCAGAGTCAATTTACTCCCAAGTTACAAAAGCATACCATTAAGTGTCTCCCTGTGTCCATACAAAAAGGACATTGCTCTAAACATAAGGGAAGGAAAAAGGCAACGTTTCACTTACAAATCCAAACCCTTAAAAGGATCCTTAAAAGGATCTGACCTTGCAAGTTCACAGTCTGATTTGGGGATAAAGGTGATTGGCCGGTTGGGGAACAGAGCACAGAGGAGAGGTGACAGATAAACACAGAGGAATGGGAGTGTCTCGGGAGCACTGTGATGGGAGCAAACCAATAAACCTAGGCTCCCCGCAGCAAGGAAGGAAGGACAAACCAATGTTAAACCTAAAATGCTTGGAGCTATATTCCATCAGCTAAGGATCTGGGTTTCTGAAACCCCTCAGATGTCTCGTCTCTGGGTGGCGCAGGGCGGGTCTGTGCCCCGTACTGGGCAGCTCTGTGGAGCGGGCCGTGCGCCATGTCGGGGCCTGACCCCGGTCTGCCACAAGCCCGGCGGGTGCTTCCGGGTGCTCTGTGACACCCATTGCAGGTGCTGACGCTCCGTCCCCTCACAGGGGAGCTGGTGTCTGCTCCGTCCTGGCGCGGCTGACCCGTCGGGGCAGTGTCAGGGTCCGCTGCCAGTGCGGCCTGCCCTGCTGTGCTCTGGTGCTGACGGCTGGCAGCGCCCGCCCGGCACGCGCTGACACATGGTGGCATGCCCCCTCCCCTCTTCCTGCCCGAGGAGGAGCACAGAGTCCTAGCCAGGCTTGGCCATTCCCAGGGAGGCAGTGCCCAGTGCAGGGCTGAGGCTGGCCTTCCTGCCGGTGTCCAGGGCCACAAGAAAAGGCTCTGGGGCCGGGGGCAAGTGGGTGAGGCACAAGCTTCAGACGTCAGGGCAGCGGGGCAGGTCCTGGCACCAGATCGTACAACCAAAATAAAACTCCAGAAGGCACTTTTTTTTTTTGCTTTTTGGTCACACCTGGAGATGCTCAGGGGCTACTCCTGGCGCTGCACTCAGGAATTACTCCTGGCGGTGCTCAGGGGACCATGTGGGATGCTGGGGATCGAACCTGGATTGGCCGCGTGCAAGGCAAACGCCCTCCCCGCTGTGCTATCGCTCCAGCCCCTCGAGGGCACTTTTCTACCTCCTGTGAAACCCGACAGGCACGGCTGGCTGAGGAAACGCGCACGTACCTTCCTCGACCCGGGAGCGGACCAGGCTGCCGCCTTCTTGGTAATACACGAAAGCCCCGTGCGTGACCTGACGGGAGGAAGGGACTTTCCTCAGAGCCGGCACCTCAGACGTGTTGGACCGAAGAGATGCCGGCCTAAGGTCAGATGAAGACGAGGGCGTCCTGCGGGCAGCACTGCCCATCCAGAGTGGGAAGCCCGAGACATGCCACACCCCACTGCAGTGCTCAGCCTCTGAGGGGTCCTGGTGCAGCCAAAGAAGAGGCCACAGGGGAGTAACCCGACAGCCCCCCAACAGCCCAACAACCCAGCGGGAGTGACCCAACAGTCCCCAGGCCCAGAGAGGGCTAGGAAAGGAGCCTTGGGCCCCGTGGGTGGGATGTAAAGGGGAAAGCGTGCCAACGACCCAGGACGCAGCCAGCCCACTCCTGGGCATCCTGTCTGGAGAACAATGGACAGCAGGACAGTCATGCCCATGGCAGCACCATCTGCAGTGGCCAGAACAGAGACGCAGGCGATGACCCCCAGACACACCTGGTCTCCCGAAGGCTCTCAATTAGTGCCTGCTGACAGATGAAGGGGAGAAAAGGACGAGGGACGTGATGGGGCATGAAGGAGCCAGAGCGCAGGACAGTGGGCGGAGCTTTGCCTTGCAATAGCTAACCCCGGTTTGACCATTCTGTATGTTGGCCTGAGCCACAAGTAAGCCCCAGGCACCTCCAGGTTTGGCCAAAACCGCTCCCCACCCCAAAATAAAGAGAGGAGGAACAAAGCTACAGTGGAATACTATACAGCTGTAAAAAGAGACACATTGCTACAGCTGAATGATATACAGCTGTAAAAAAAACAGACACTGTTACGATGGGATACTATACAGCTATAAAGAGGCACAGATATGGTGGGATACTATACAGCTGTACAAAAGATGAGGGCCAGAGAGAAGACTCACTGGATGAAGTGCCTAGAGATCTGGGTGGTTCTCCCTAGCACCACATTTAATTCCATGAGCACTGCCAGGTCTGGCTCAAAAACACTAGAGAAGGGTCCAGAGAGGTGGACAGTGGACAGGGAGTTTTCCTTGCATGCGGTCAATCCTGGTTTGATCCTGATTCCACCAGAGTGACCCCTGTGCACGTAGCCAGGAGCAAGCCCCGAGGACCACCTGGTGTGATCCCCCCAAAGCAACAAAACCCTTTTCCCTCCTATTTGCAGCAAAATGGAAGCTCAAGAGAATTATGTGAAGCGAAACTAGTAAGAAAAAGTATGAGGTTATTTCACCTGTCAGCTGCGTGTCAGGGTATCAAACTGACGGACGGCCAACCAGCGTATAGACACACACTGGACAGTGCCGGAGGGGGCGGGGAGAACTGGACATGTGTGAGGGCAGAGCAGGTGTCAGTCACTCACTGGCCTTGCCTGTGGCCGTGGCAGCCGAGACTTGGGCTCGAATCCTGGCTCTGTCTGTGACCCTGAGCACTGCGGGGTCTGGCCTCGCCCCTCCGAACAGGCTGAATGACTGCCATGGGACAGTGTGGAGCGGAGCTGGGGACAGCAGGTGGCAGAGCTGTGACAGCCGCTCTGGGGGGTCGTGGGGGCATCACCAGGACAAAGCAATCCAGCTCTACTTCCATCCTCTTTGAATTGTCCCAAAAATTCCAAACAGAATTTGTTGCTTCCTGAAACCAGGAAATCCAGCCAGTTTCAACTGTTGGCGTGTTTGTGTTTCTCGGGGCTGGGCCCAGGCTCTCGGGCCAGTTTCCCCTGCTCCACGCTGGCACTGGACTCGGGGGCCCAGGCCCCTCCGTGGGTTTGCAGGAGCCCGGCTGCGTGGGTAGGGCTGGGAGGGGGGGTAGCATCCTGCCTGTGTGGGGTGGCTCGGGCGGGCGCCCTGAGTCTGGAGGGCTGAGTGTCGTACCTCTGCGTTGGCGATCTCGTACTCCTCCTGCGTCTCCAGCCTTGCTTTCGCTGTTCCAAAGGCATCCGTGCTCTCTGCCGATTTCCCACGCTCCGGATTGGCCCAGAGAAAATCCTGGAAAAAGGTTTACTAGTACATCATTCTACTTCAAGCTTGGGAAAGAAAACTGCCTGTAACCACAGTTTTTACGTCTGCTTCGAGCAAGCAGCAAAGGCCCAGGCCGATGCGTTTATGCCTCCCGTGACCTTAAATCTCGCTTTTGAAGCTCAGCGGCTGACCTCCACTCTCTTACGAAACCGCGGAGAGAGACCCAGGGGCGCTGCGGGAGGGAGGGGGGCCAGAAACACCAGAGACGCACCCAGTACGTGGGTAACAGAGCAGGAAGAGGAGAGGAGCCTGTGCACGTGTGCGCGCGCACACAACGTATGTGCACACACATAAACACGCACACACACGTACACCGTGCACAAACAGGCATAAATGCACACACGCACTCTGCACGCAGACACACTCACACGTGCATGTGTGCATACAGGAACCCACGCACACGCACAGACGCAGAGGAGCGCGGAGAGCTTTAGAGGTGGGAGGACCCGAGGGGAGGAAGCCGTCAGCCCTGCTGGCTCTTCCCTTGTTCCTGTACTCCCAGAGTCCAGGTCGGAGATTTGTCCTTCACATCCTCATTAACCACAATTTTCTTCTCGTGGGGAGAAGGAATCCCATCATCAGAACTGTTTATCAGATCAAAAGATAAATTAATGCCGACTGATAACAGGGCTTCTCTTTCAGTTTTTTTTTTTTTTTTTTTTTTTGCTTTTTGGGTCACACCTGGCGATGCTCAGGGGTTACTCCTGGCTTTGCACTCAGGAATCACTCCTGGCAGTGCTCGGGGGACCACCTGGGATGCTGGGAATTGAACCCAGGTTGGCCGCGTGCAAGGCAAACGCCCTCCCCGCCGTGCTATCGCTCCAGCCCCTCTTTCAGTTTTTAAAGGAAGAACAGGGAAAAGAATGGGAAATTAATGAACTTGAGTGAGAGTGGAGAGAGATGAAAGCCAAATAGCCCTGTCTTCCTGGGAGTATTTAATAAGCTAAAAGCTTCGATGACTTCTGGTCAGCACTTAAATACGGTATGAATTATTTAAGTACGGATAAGGCAAAACATCAGTTGTCAAAAAGTGTTCAATAATTCAACACCTCACCGGCTTGCATTGTTTAAACCAAATAGTGCTAGCCAAGGCTTGTGACATCTGCCACGTGCCAGCAAAGACGCTACCCCAGGGCATGCCAGGGGCAGGGCCCGGGGCGAGGACCTGGATGGCTGGGACATGTTTACGACAAGGCGTCAGGACCGTCACCACATCGAAGGAAGAACAGAAAACCACCCGAAGAGACGGAAAACAGTCATCACAGAATTCCCCGAGTCTCCAGATTTGAATCAGCAGCAGAGACTGAGGCCCGGTGGCTTGGCCCGGCCACTGAGCCCGACAGGGCCAGGCCCACAGGGTGACCTGTCCCACAGCTCACAGCACCCAATGCCCTTGGCTTGTCCCAGTCAGCACGGCTCCCAGGACCAGCAGGAGTTGAGTGGACAACACTCCTTCCGGGAGTGGGGACCCCACCAGTCCCCCAAGCCCCCGAGGGGGCCGCGCCAGGACCCTGGCACTTCAGGTGAGGCATGGGGGGTTTAAAAGGCACAACTCGGGGCTGGAGCCATAGCACAGTGGGTAGGGCGTTTGCCTTGCATGTGGCCGACCCTGGTTCGATTCCCAGCATCCCATATGGTCCCCCGAGCACCGACAGGAGTGATTCCTGAGTGCATGAGCCAGGAGTAGCCCCTGAGCATCGGCTGGGTGCGACCCAAAAAGCAAAAATAAATAAATAAAATTTTAAAAAAAAGGCACAACTCAAGGCAGTGATGAAAACTCAACCCTGAGTGATGTGTGGGGTTCGCTGAGGAAGAGCACGCGCCCAGTAAGAGAGGCGAGCCTTCAGGCCCTTCTGGTCAGCAGAGGCTTCAAGCCCCTCTCAAGGACTTCACCCCTGCCACCACCTGCAGCCGGCCCTGCGGGGCCCCAGTCCCACTAAGTCACGGAAAGCACGCACCTGGCCTGTGAGTGCTCAGGACCAGGAGGGTTGGCCTCCTTGGCCCTGGGGGCCAGCAAGACGATGCCTGCTCCGGCCCTCAGGGTTGCCCGGCAGACCCCAGCCCCACTCGCCAGGAGTGACCCAAAAATCAAAGACCAAGGAACAGAAGCCAGGGCCCAGCGAGAGGTCCGGCTCATGGCTGACCCAGATTTGGTCCCTGGCACTGAGCACAGAGTGGGGGGCCGCCTGAGCCCCGGGGGAAAGTGCCCCAGACCCAAACTAACATGAAATCAAACCGGCACCCGTGAAAGCACCGCTGGCAGAGGAGCAGACGGAGGAAACGCGGGTACCCACGGGCGAGCCACACCCACACCCACCCACATGGGGACGGTTCTGGCGTCTGCTGCAGGGGACCCAGGGTGCGTGGGTGCGAAGGCCCCAGCAAAGGGTCTCCTCCCCCTGCTGCCCGGGACTCGGTCGCTTGGACGCGCTTAACTGCCGCAACCGCTAACGTGGCAGCCCTCATGCCCCGAAGAAAAACCCCTTTGTGGGCAAGGGGGGCGAGGGGCCGGGCCCCCAGAACTGGCCCCCAGGAGGGGTGCGCGAGTGGCCAGCCTGGGGCTGGAGGGTCAGCACAGCGGGGAGGGCGATTCCCTTGCACGCGGCCGACTCGGGTTCGATCCCCGCATCCCATGGTCCCCTGAGCACCGCCAGGGGTGATTCCTGAGCGCAGAATCAGGAGCGACCCCTGGGCATCGCCGGGTGCGACCCTCTCCCCGCAAAAAGGAGTGGCCAGCGTTCCGGGCAGACCCACTGTCCAGGCGCCGGCTGAAGCGTGCGCCAAGGGCCCGAGGGTCAGGCTGGGCTGAGACCTGCTGGGCCACGGTCTGACGGCCACAGGCTGGCGCCGGGTGACCACAAGGGCCCGCCCGCCCGCCCGAGACCCCCGCGGGAGACCCCCGTACCTGCGCGCGGCTCCGACCCGGGCCCCTCCGTGCCAGGACCCCCGGCCCGGCTCTGCCCTGCAGGCCCCTGGCTGGCCCGGGCCCGGGCCTGGGTCTGGGGGCAGCGGCCCGGGCCGGGCACCAGCGGGGCGTGCGCGTCCAGGGGCCGGGCGCGGGGCAGGGCAGCGCCCGCAGGAGGCGCGCGGTCACCTGCATGCCCGGGACTGTCCTCGCCGCCCGGGACTGCCCGCACTGCCCAGGACTGCCTGGGCCCGTCCGCCCTGCCCGCGCCGCCCAGCCCCGCGGAGGCCGGAGTCGGGCACTCGGCGCCGCTGGGCTCCGGCGGGTCCGCGTGTCCGCGCGTCCCCGGAAGTGGCGCCGGGCCGGGCGGGCGAAGCCGCCGCCGCCATGTTTGCTGTGGGCGCCGGCTCGGCCCGCCCCGGAGTCGCCGGCGACGCGCCGCCGGGACGCCGCCCGGTTGCTAGGAGACGCGGCCGGAAGCGCGGGGCGCCGCGAGGTCCTGTCAGGGCGCGAGTGGAGGGTCCTGGCCGGGCAGAGCGGAGGGTCCTGGCGGGAGCGAGTGGAGGGTCCTGGCAGGGCAGAGCGGCAGGTCCTGGCGGGAGCGAGTGGAGGGTCCTGGCAGGGCAGAGCGGAGGGTCCTGGCAGGAGCGAGTGGAAAGTCCTGGCCGGGCAGAGCGGCAGGTCCTGGCGGGAGCGAGTGGAGGGTCCTGGCAGGGCAGAGCGGAGGGTCCTGGCAGGAGCGAGTGGAAAGTCCTGGCCGGGCAGAGCGGCAGGTCCTGGCAGGAGCGAGTGGAGGGTCCTGGCCGGGCAGAGCGGCAGGTTCTGGCAGGAGCGAGTGGAGGGTCCTGGCCGGGCAGAGCGGCAGGTCCTGGCAGGAGCGAGTGGAGGGTCCTGGCCGGGCGCAGCGGCCGGCGCCCGACATGGACTCGGAAGTGGCCGCGGCCGGGGCGGACACGCGGCCGCACACGGCGCTGGCCCCCGCCCGCTGGCAGCTGCTGCGGCAGGTAAGGGACCCCTGGGCCCGCCGGGGCCGCCCCCCACCCCCACCCCCGCCTCTGGCGGCCCCTGCTGGGCGCGGCTCCCGGGGCAGGTCGCGCGTCGGCACCTGTTGACGCCCCCCAAAGGCGCCCCGGGCCGGCCTCACGCTGCCCCCGCTCCGCCCGGACGGCTCAGGGTGCCCCCGCGCCCCGCACCCCGCACCCCGCACCCGGGCCGGGCCGGGCGGCGCAGCGCGCACCACACACTCCGTGCGCCCAGCGGTGCAGTGCGACCGACGCCCTCTCCAGTCTGTGCAGTGCACGCGGACACACGCTACCCTGAGTCTGAGCAGTCCCAGTCCACCTTGCACACACACCCTGCAGTTCACGCAGATATACATGGTACACGCTGCGTACGCTGTACTACGGGTTGTAGATACACGACACACACTATATGCTGCAGCGTGTGGGTGTACACGGTAGACGCTGCACTGTACTGCAGTCTGTGTAGACTCACGTGGCGCACACTGCACATGCACTCGGCAGTGTAGGAGTACACACTGCATCATGCCTTCACACACTGCAGTGTTGTGCAGGGTGTACAGCACACGCTCGTCACGTTGGTGTGTGCAGATGCTGTGCACACTACAGACGGCACTCTAGTCTGTGTAGATACACACAATGGACACTGCACACACTGCACTCAAGTGTGCGTAGATACTGCACTCTACACACTGCTCCCCCCCGTCTACAGTTTGTAGGTGCTGCGCACACGGGCGCACTGTATTCACATTGTAAATCCACACCGAATGCTGCACTGGTGCATATAAACACTAGGTGACACTGTGTGCACTGTGTACACACGCTGTATGTACACTCAATACTGCGTCAGTCCTGCAAATGCTGTAGGCCACATCGTGTACACACTGTGCGCACACTGCACACGTGCCAGCATGTGTGGACACTGTGGGCGACATTGTGTACCTACTGTGGGCACTACGCGTGCTGTCCTGCATCAGTGCACGCAGACTCTAAGCAACATTGTCTAACTACACACGCTACACTGTACACCCTCCCTTAGACACCGTAGGCTGCATTGTTACACACTGCACTGTTCACGCTACTCCAGCGTATGCTCTAACACACGTTCTATTACAGAGCGCAGCATCAGCAGGACCGGCCGATGTCATGTATGCACGGGCCGTGTTGGCCCACAGCGTGGCTGCACAATAGCGCCTGGTCCCCTCAGGACTCGCGTTGATGATCCCTGTGCCCAATGCCCGTCTGGTCTGCCGCCCCGCCCGGCTTCGGGAGTCCTCAGCAGCACCCACCAGCCCTCGTTTCCATCAGAACTGCCCAGGCGTCAGCCTAGTGGCGCTTGCCCTGTGGCGGCCACGCAGCTCCCTTCTGAGTGGACAGTCCTGTTCTCGGCTGTGTGTGGCTCAGGGTCAGGGCCAAGGGCTCCTACACGCCTCTGCGTCTGAGCTCCACCACGGCCCTTCGTCCCATTAGGAACGAAACAATTGTTGAGGACTCTTGAGACTTTATTTCCCTTGTCAGTTTTGGTCCTTCCTCCCGCCTTCCCTCTCTCCCTCCCTCCCTCCCTCCCTCCCTACCTCCCTCCCTCCCTACCTCCCTCCCTCCCTCCTTCCCTCCCTCCCTCCCTTCCTCCCTCCCTCCTTCCCTCCCTCCCTCCCTTCCTCCCTCCCTCCCTCCCTCTCTCCCTGCCTCTCTTGCTTCCTCCTCTCCCGTCCTCTCCCCTCCATCATTGCCATTTCCGAGCTGTCTGGGTGTACGTGCCTGATGGTGGTGCTCACGCCTCCTCCATTCCCAGGAAGCCCCGAGCTCCCTCTTGGGCCCAGCACCGAGCCGGCCCCGCCAGCCTCACACTGCCACACCTCCCTCCCCACTGTACTATCGCTCTGGCCCTGGTGCAGACTGTTCTATAGGGGCTGGTTGTGTTGATGGGTGTTTCGTGTTGGTTGCCGGTGGGTGTTTTGTATTGGTGGGTATTCTGTGTTGACTGTGTTGGTGTGTGTCGTTTTGTGTTGGCGGATATTTGTGATGGTTCTGATGGGTGTTGTTTTGCGTTGTGTACTTTGCCTTGGCAGTGTTGGTGGGTGTTTCGTGTTGGTGGCTGTCTTGCATTGTCTGTGGTGGTGGTTTTTGTTGGCAGGTGTGGTTCTGTGTTGCTGGTTGGTGGTGTGGGCGGGTGTTGTTTGGTGTTGGATGTCTGTGTTGTCTGGTTGTTGTTTTTCGTTGTCCGGTTGGTTGCTGGTTGTGGAGTTGTATTGTGGAGCCCGTCCTCCACTGGGTGTCCTGGCTGGGGGCTCTCGCTCGGCCCCGCCCTGGGGCTCCTGAGTGACCTCATGCTCCCGGCCCCCGTGGGCCCGGCCTTTGTGACAATCGCGGTGTCTGCCCTGTCCCCAGGTTCTGAAGCACGGGCGCGTGGACGAGCATCTGCGGCGTGTGTCTGTGAGAAGATTCGAGTCCTTCGGCCTGTTTTCTGTGACGGAGGCGGAGGCGGAGGCGGCAGGCCCGGCCGGGGGTCGGTGGCTCCTGTATACCAGCGTCATCTCCCCTGAGCACAGTGTCTTTGTGAGGTGGGACGGGTCCCCGGGGTGCTCGGCTCCAGGGGCAGCTTCTGGGCCCCTCAGCCCGCCTCTGGGCTCGGGGCCACCACCTGGGCTCCGGGGAGGGACAAGGGGGAACGCCCGGTCACTAGGAGCACCCCGCCCGGGACTTTGCCCCTCTGGGGGCAGCGCGGTGCTCTGCGAGGCGCTGGGGCTGCCGCCGCCCAGGGTCCACGCTCTGAAGGCGCCGGGGCCCTTCGGGAGCGGCTGTAGGAGGGCCGGAGGGTCTCCGTGGATCTGCGGCTGATTAAGCTCGGGGAGGGCAGGAATGACTTTAAGGAAAAGTGTTTCCATAACGGCTGCCTATTTATAGTATCTGAACTATTTTAGCTCCAGATAAGTTCGAAGCTGTAATTTTACCATAATAGCTAAAACTTGGGCTTTGGGTGGAGGTGGGGCTGGATGGCTGGGGTTGGCTTCCCAAGGCTGTTGGAAACTCCAGGAGGGAGGGTCGCGCCCACCAGCCTCCCCTTGGCATGCGCCAGACACCCCTGGGGCAGGGGGCCGGGGACGGCCCCTCACGGACTCATCGTAGGAGCAGGGGGAGACAGTGGGGAGGTGGGCCTGGGACGTTGCCTGGCCTCCACTGCCCGGCCCCCGTCCGCTTGGCTGCGGTCAGCACAGCCCCTGCAGGATCTGTGGGTCTTAGGGACAGGACTGATCTTAGGGGACAGGGGCTTAGCTTAGGGGATAGGACTGGCCTTAGGTACAGGACTGGCCTTAGAGGGGACAGGACTGGACTTAGGGGACAGGACTGACCTGAGGGGACAGGACTGGACTTAGGGGACAGGACTGGACTTAGGGGACAGGATTGGCTTGGAGGGGACAGGACTGGTCTTAGGGGACAGGGGCTGGCCTTAGAGGACAGTGGCTAGGCCGTAGGGGACAGGACTGGCCTTAGGGGACAGGGGCTAGGCCTTAGAGGACTGACCTTAGGGACAGGACTGGCCCTTGGGGACAGGGGCTGGCCTTAGGGGACACACAGGAACCTGTGGGGTCAGCACGGGGCCAGCCCTGCTGCCCCCAGCTGTGTCCGTCGTGCCGTCCCTCTGACCATCCGAATGTTGGGTTCATTGTCATACACGATGGCCACAGGGCAGAGACCTTGGGATTAGGACTCAGGTTGGGGGACAGCGACTCTGAGCCTGGCCTGGCCTGGCCGTGGGGGTCCTCGGGCTGGCTCCCAAGAATGGCCCAGGCACGCCTGCAGGCCTGGAGGGCGGGTTTTCTTTTGAGAGCCCAAACCAGTTACGCTGTATTCTGTCTCATTTTTAAAAGCCAACGATCGGTTTGTCTAGTACAGCCCAAGCAGCCAGGTGAGCACTGATGCTGCGACTCAAGGGTTGGTCACTACGAAGCGTGGTTGCTCGCAGACTGGCCCAGGGCAGCGACAGCTCTGGCCTCGAGGCTGTGTCAACTCTGCCCCGTGGGCACTGGGCACCCCCAGGTGCACCGAGGCTGCCCGCAGGGGGCTTCCTAGGCGGGCCGCTCGCGTGAGCCCTCGCTTCTCTAGAAAATTAGTAACTGTTGGCACTTCAGGGTTAATCAAACACTGTTTTCCTCCTTTCTAGGCATCATGGTGGATCACTGAATGTTAAAGATGTTCTTACAAGCTTCGACAACACAGGAAATGTTTGTGAGTTCTGTGCATGCTTATTATCTTGAAATCTTTGTAGTGTTTTAAAACTGAATTTGCACTGGTGGCTTTTCCCCTTGTGTTTATAATCCCGACTGATTTGTATTTATGAATATATTAGAAATTCTCTTTATAGCTGCAAAATAGGTCTCCTGCAAATTGTACTAACTAGAGGGTCAGGGAGTTTTTGTACACTGCAGTGGTGTGTGAAAGATAAGGTGTGTGGGGGGAGTGTGAAGTGTGACCAGTGAGGTGTGGGTGTATGTGAGGGGTGTGTGTGTGTGTGAGGGGTGTGTGTGTGTGAGGGGGGTGTGGTGGAGAGACAGCGCGGGTCCGAGCCGCTCTGGGCTTTGCTTTGTCTGCTGCTTTGGCCCCGGGGTCCGCTGACGGCCACTCCTTCCTTCTCTGCCGGCTTCTGGCTGCTTCTCCCATAGCGCACCGTGAACCCGAATTTGTGTCTCTTGTGGCTGCACTTGAATGTTTCTTATGTGCCGTATTTCGGTGCTGTGGAATCTGTTGTCTGTGCATCTGAGCTTCTGATGAAGCTGTGATGGGTCTCCGGAGAAACTCGTCGGAATCAGTTTCTCCACTCTCCAGTTCAGTTCCTGCCTGCCCTTGGCTGCTCTCTGGGCCCCCGTCCTTGTGGCAGGCCGGGTCTGCCCTGTTGGCCTTGGCTGAGTTGCAGAGTCAGGCGATGTGGGCAGGTACTGCTGCCCAGGAGGCCCTGCCCTGTGTGGGTGGTCGCCAGGGGTGGGCCCTGGGGGGCTCCAGGCAGCCTGAGTATGTCTGGGGCGAGAGGCCTGGCCCTCCCGGAGCTCGTGGAGCAGTGCTCGCTCGCGGCCTCTGATCGCTGGAGGTCCAGGGCCGAGCCCCGGGGTGTCTGCTGCCACAGTCTCCAGAGGTCCCCACTGTCCTCAAGGGCTCAGATCCCACTTGTTCTCCCTGAGCATGGTGTGCAAAGGCCTGTCAATTCCGGTGGGATGCAGGGTGGCCTCTTGCCCCTCGTGGGGCATCGGCTCTGGCTGCCCAGGGCGGCTCTGAGGGACGCCAAGTCTGCCCAGAGGTCTGGGCTCTGCTCTGGGCACCTCGCTGCCCTGCGCTCCCAACATCTGCTCCCGGGGGCCTGGCGTGGGGGGCTGTGGCTGGGGACCGAGACTCGGCATTGGCACATGTCGCCTCTGTGTCCCCTGGCACCCGGCCATGGCCACTGGGCCTCAGGGCCCGCCGGCCCTGCTCTGTCCCGGAGCCTCTGTGGCACCTGGGGGGGGGGGGGGAGGTGCGCTCAGGCTTCTTCAGGTTTGAGGCAGTGGCTGCAAGAGGGCCCTAGATGGACGCCAGTGACTCAGGCCCCTGCGCCCTGGCCAGCGCGGGCCCTGCCCAGCAACTCCCCAGCAGAGGGCGCCCGCAGCACTGGCCGCCGGTGGCTCCGTCTGTCTGCGCGGGGCAGCAGGACCCGGGCGCGTCTGGGCTTGGCTCTTCTAAACAGCAGCTGCTCGAGCAGTGAGACCCTCAGCCCCTGCCTGAAGAGCTGACGCTCTCTCCGGGTGCCCGGGCGGGACACAGGGCGTCTCCCCAGCCTCACTCTCCCGGGGCGTCCACTCCTGGGTCATCGGCCTCTGAGCACGCGAAGACAGCAGGGACGGAAGGATGGACGGACGGACGGGACGACCGGGCCCTGGTGTGGGCAGGTGGGTGCCCACGCACCCACGGTCTAAGACCCTTGGCCCCAGCCTTAAGTCAATCTGAAAAGAAAAATTGCCGTTTCTTTGTTGCAGACACTCGAGCTGCGAATTGCGAGAGAGACACTCGCTCCTACAGGCGCCAGGCGGGGCCGAGAGTAAGGGTTGGACAAGGGCCAGCTCCTGGCGCTGGACACTGCCCGTGGCCAGCTTGGAGCCCCGTGTGGGACCTGCCCCTGCTCCCCCGGCGAGTCTCACCCCTGCTCCTGCCGGCTTCGCCCCTGCTCCTGCTCCCCCCTGCTCCCCCACTCTAACCCGTGCAGTTCTGGCCGCCTCGAGCCTTTTCCCATCTCGCTATGCCCCAGAATCGGCAGCAGCCGAGGCCGGTCAGTGTCTCCCCGGACTGGTGTGACCTCCTCTCCTGGGGCCCTGGCAAGTGTGTCGCGGTGGCCGTCTCAAGTCGGGCCCCTGTCAGGGCCGGCGCCACTGTGTGTGCTGTCGGGCTGGGCTTGAGGCCCTCCTGGACGGGGCTGTTGCGGCCTGTGCCGGCCCCTGTGGCCGGGCCCCTTGCTCTGTTGGTGGCCACATCAGCCCTGGAGGACCGCACTAGGTCAGCAGGTGGTGTCCCCTCTGCTGTTACACGTGTTCCGCTTTGTGACTTCCGGGGCGCACTTAGGGGTGTGGGCCGGCGGGGCCCGGGCAGGGGCGGACGAGTGTGGGCAGTGGGGGCTGATGCAGGTGCAGGCAGGCGTGGGCCCGGCAGGTGCCGCCTGCAGCAGTGGGAGTGAGGTGCAGCCCAGGTGGAAGGAGGCTGCAGGGACACACGGGGACACACGGGGGCACACAGGGACACCCGCCGCCCTGCGCCCAGTTCCTCTGCCCTCCCTCAGCACCGGGAGATGAAGAGCCCAGGTAGGAACCGACAGGCCACAGGAACGCTCTGGGCCGGAGGGAGGGCTGGGGTGAGCTGGGGGTGCTTCAGATGCGGTTGGAACTGACGTTGGCCAGGGGGGATTCCCTGTGTCTGGGAGCGTGCCCGCATGTGCGTGGGAGGCGCAGCTCACGGTCTGCCACTGCACTGAAGGGGGTGGCAAGCAGGGCTGAGTGCGTGCGGGGGCAGGTGTGCGGGCGTGTGGTACGTGGGGCGTGGGCGTGGCATGCAGTGCGGCTCCCTTCCCTGCCTGCCTCCTTCTCGAGCTGCCCAGACTCCAGCCCGGTGTCGCAGTGGAGACTCGGCCCTGGTCTCCAGGGGACGCCAGGAAACGGCCTGCCTGGCTCTTGGTGACTCTCGGTGGTGGCCTGGGTGTGCCACTGGGGTGACTGGGACTCTCGGCCCCCGAGCTGTGTGTGGGTGTGAGTGCTGGCCGCGGCCCTGAGCTCCTGAGAGGAAGACTTGGGTGTCGGCGGGTCTGTGCCTGCCCAGTGAGCCCCGGGCCGGCTCCCTGGACGCGCTGTGGACCCCTCATCTGGCGTCCGGCCCACCCCGCTCTCCAGGAACCTGCTGCCTCTGTCCTCAGCCTCCCACTGGGACTTAGTTTGGGGTTCTATGTCTTTAAAACATGGTTCTTCTTAAATATTCGCCAGGCCCGCGGTCCTGTGGCGGGATCTGCTTTAGGCCCTAACAGGCCTGGGGCGGGGGGGCAGCCCTCCCCACCGGCCATCAGCCAGGTGGATTTGGCATCTTCTCGGCGTCTCATTGACCTTGTCCAGTCTCGGGTGAAAGTTGCTGTTTTTGAGATGAGCGAGAAGGATTTGGGCTCCCCCTGCCCCGTGGGGCTCCCATCCGTCCCGCCCATCCCGTCCGCTGTCTGCCCACACACTCTGCGCCCGGGGTCTCGCAGGGGAAGCCAAGACCCTCGCGCTTCCTGACTTACTTTGCTTCGTGTAATCCCTTCCAGTTCCTTCAGACTCACTGCAAGTGACAGTCTGCTCTGCCCCCGTCACGGCGTTTCCCGGTCCGAGTAGCATTGGGCAGGCGACTCTGGAGGTGACGGTCCCTCTGGAGGTGACGGTCCCGTCCGCCCCGTGGGACACAGCCCCGGGCGATCCCTGAGCGTCCCGGGTGCCACCCCGGCACCCCCCTCCCGGGAGACCTGGGCAGTTCCGTGTCCTGGTCACTTAGAATCCCAGGCTGGGGCTTCCGGGACAGGCTCGTCTGGGTTCCTTTTGCCTGGATGTCCACCACGTGCTTGTGGTCTGGGCGGCCCCTCCCTGGGGTTTGGGCCAGGGTGCGAGCTGGCTAGGCACTCAGGGCGCTCCGGGTGGGACTGCGGGGGCCGCCTGGGGTGGGTGCGCCCACGCCCTCACCTTGTGGCTTTACGTGGTCCTGGCATCTGCTGTAGAGGACACTAATGTCATTTCGTTTCACGCTGGCCACGCGACCCCCGGTTCCAGCCCAGCCAGTGCTGAGTGGCTCTGGCCTCTCCATCCTTGCCCGCCTCCTTGTCCTCTCGGCTCGCAGTTTCCCCGCCGAGGGCCCCTCCTGGACCCCAGCAGGCCTTCAAGTGCTTTCCTGCTGGCTAATGCTGCTTTTAAGATGGACGTAATGTCACCCTCTCTGTCTCTTTGTTGCGGCCACTTAGTAGATGGACCGGCCCTGCCTGGCGTTGTCCCTTCCAAGGCCTCCTGCCCTCCCAGACCATCTTCCTGCCTGTTTCTTCTGCAAGGCCCGGGAGGGACCGTCCCCAGCGACTGCCCCTGGGCGCCTCTCCCCAGGTCTTGGTGAAAGGGCCTTCCCTGCACAGTGGCTAGGATGGGCTTGACCCCAGGTCCCGGTGTGCGGGCTGGGCCCCTCTGCGCCCCCCACCCTTTGCTCCCCTGCCCCAGGGTGGGGCGGCCTCTTTGCTGACAGGCCGAGGCAGGTGCATCCTGGAGTGTCGTGGACAGGGGATCGGGCCAAGGCAGGGTGTGAGGGCTGTCAGGGTTGCTGGGGCCCCAGATTGCAGCCTGGTCAGGGGCTGAGATGAGCATGAACATGCGTCCTTGCACGGCGTCCATCCATCCACGACGGTGAGAACTTTGGGGGTCTCCCAAGGTGCCGCTTCTTGGCCCACCCAAGCAGATCAGCGCCAGGGCCAGCAGGGGGCGCAGCCTGTGCTGCGGCTGCGCAGTTGGACCCCAGGGAACACTGCTGCCCCTCACTGTGGGACCCTCACTGCGGGACCCTCACTGCCGGGACCCTCACTGCGGGACCCTCACTGCCGGGACCCTCACTGCCGGGACCCTCACTGCAGGACCCTCACTGCTGGAACCCTCACTGCCGGGACCCTCACTGCCGGGACCCTCACTGCGGGACCCTCACTGCCCAGGACCCTCACTGCG